TGGACTCTCTCCAGTAGCTCTTCATCTTTCTTGAACTGGGGAGCCCAGCACTGGACACAGTACTCCAGATGAGGCCTCACCAGGGCAGTGTAGAGGGGAAGGAGAACCTCCCTCGACCTGTTGGCCACACTCCTCCTAATGCACCCCAGGATCCCATTGGCCTTCTTGACAGCCAGGGCACACTGCTGGCTCATGGTTAACCTGTCGTCCACCAGGACACCCAGGTCCCTCTCCACAGAGCTGCTCTCCAGCAGGTCCACCCCAAGCCTGTACTGATGCATGGGGTTGTTCCTCCCCAGGTGCAGGACCCTGCATTTGCCTTTGTTGAACCTCATCAGGTTCCTCTCTGCCCAACTTTCCAGCCTATCCAGGTCACACTGAATGGCAGCACAGCCTTCCGGTGTGTCTACCACACCTCTCTTTCATATTTCCTCTCGCCTGTCCAGTTGAGAGGGAAAGTGATAGAGTGGTTTTGGTGGGCACCTGGCATTTATCCAGGCCAAACCAAAACAACAAGAAACTTTAATTCTGAGCATTGCTTCATGTTGAAACGAAGATTTGGCAGCAACCTGATTTTAATAACTTTTCTCCCCCACCATTACATAAGATTTAAATAACCATAACTGGTATTTTTTAATTGGTTTCATCTCAAAAGATTCTGGTTCCCTTTTACAGCCCAGCAGAACCTTTGCTATTCTTGCACTAAGAAGTTGATAAGGGCAGTTCTGGGAGACAGAATGGCCTTTTTTATGGTTCTTCCCTGGAGATGCTTGACTCCAAGTTCACTCTGAAGAACTAGCTCATGGACTTCTTCAGAATTGCGGGCTGCTTGCTGAGGCACAAAAACTTTGCCGCAAGCTTTGTTATTGATCTGAAAAGAGAGAGACATGAAAACAAGAAAAAACAGAAGTTACTAGACTGATTTATACAATTTCATTTCCTGAATCCAATCCATCTCATTACATGGGGAAGGGGGTAAAGTGGATCAAACTCTCTTTTCTGCAACACCAAACTTTCTAAGTAGAGGACAGAACTCTCCATGCGTCCTGTCCATCTACCATAAAATAAGAGAATGAAACTGACTCACAATGCTCCAGGAAAATTGAAGAAGTGGCCATAGGAAGTCTTAGTTTTGAAGTTAGTAAGCAGCATGTGATTATGCAATGTGGCAATCTTTTAAGTTTAAAAACATGATAGTTACACCAGCTGAATAATGAGAGTGAATATAATGGTGGGCATCTTGGTTTGTACATACTTCTGCGCTGTAATTTGGATTCGTTACAGCTAAATGGTTCCTTACAGAGATTCAAACGCAAGATTTATTAAAATAAAAACATTTGTGGCTGAAAAGATGTCTGCAGGATTCATCATCGCTCATTTTTAGAAAAATAGGCTTTAACTCATTATATGTTGCATTCGTACTAAACGCATGACTCACTAAGCCAACACTGACCACAAGACGACAGCCACTCATAAGGTAATACTTTCCTGTGGGTGGCTGCTTTTCAGAGCACCTTCCACGCTGGTTTTGCATCAGCAGGGCAGAATCACGTAAGTAAAACTGAGGCCTTCAGTGGGAATCACCTTAATTTATAAAACAGTCTTATAAATATTTTCTGTCATCCAGTAAGAGTAGATAGACAGAGACTACAAAGCCTTACTGAGTACCTTTCTAGAACTGGCATAAAGTTCATTGTTATAAAAGTTTTAGATTTATATGGAGTACTTTCAGCAGATTAATGAAAAGAATATCAATCCCACATTTTCACAAATGAAATAATTTGAATTTTTAAATGCAGTTCAATCAGATTACTTGCATGAAAATCTGCTGCAGGTACTGTATCCAGGATACACGTATGCAACATAGCACGAATGACAGAGACCTACTTCACTTAGCCAGTTTCTATTTTATTGAAAACAAAAATAATCTGTGCAATTCTCTGAGAGAGGAAGTTGGTAAATATTTTTAAGGAACAAGATGAAGTCTCAAATACAGCTGGGATGAGTAATTTCTGTTTTTTTTCACTAGACTTGACATTAATTTGCAGTTATAATGTAGGTAGGCTTTTAACTATTCTTACACACATCCATAACGTGGTACGATAAAAGGCCGGCTATGTTAAAACTTTGCCTTTAGCACCTTGTGCAAAGTAAATCCCTTGAAAAACACAGAAAAGTTCATTTTTAAAGCTTCTGTGAAAAATAAATACAAGCAGTTGTTCTTGACAGGGCACTTCAGAGAAGAACAGCATTCCACAGGAAAAAGAAAACAGTAAAATCCAAATGGACACAGTTTTAGTGAGTATATAAAGCCAGCTTGTCAGCTTGCTGCTAGGACACACAGTCTGCAGTTCAAAGCTATGCCTGCTTAGTTAAAATGTCATTCACTGTCCTCCAAAATGCAAATTCATACGTCCCAGTGGATGGATGTTGGCAGGGGGAAACTTGCCGCAGCTAGCCTATCTGGTGCTGTTCTCAACAGAAAAGCCAAGCGGTCTAAATCAACTTGGTAAATAAATGACTGCTAGCAGTTGTGTTTTCCTAGAAAGGTCGAGAAGCCTGGGCGACCTGACACTGTGTACCTTCCCACAGCATCTCTCCTCATCTTCCCACACTGCGCTGCGAGTTGAGCCCGACAATCCTACTGAGCAGCAGATTGGTTACAACTTCAGCGCGTGCTTGCGGCATGGCTTTCATTACATCGCAGGTATCGTGATGCGAAGTCAAACGTGTCAACGCCGTTCTTCAAATACGCATCTGCAGATTTAATCACCCGCTGCACGTAACAAGCATCCTATTCGCATATTCTTTTAGTCGAGGGGTTAGATTCTCAGCAGGACAAACACCTGCTATGCCTCTGTCGTTCTCTCTGTATCTCACTAGACCAGCATAACCCTTGGCAGCTCCAGGTAAAAGTGCCACACAAGAAACTTGGGTGCTGGCAGCCTTGTTTCTCTGAAAAACCATGGTAAATTACAAGAGGAGAAATGAACGAGGCCTGGGTCCTTTCTTCCCCTGAGGAAGGAAACTGATAATTTTTTTTTTCTCCGCCCCCCCCCCCTTTTTTTTTTAAACATTTGACATTTTAGACTATTTTGGATCTAGAGGGAGCTAGAGGGAACTAGAGAGGTTATGAAGGATGAAATTAAATCACAGAAGACTGAAAAATAAGCACCTGGAGGCTGCAGAGAGGAATTTTGAGTTCAACTCAAATATTTTTTTTTTTTTACCAGTGATGCATATTCCTTCTGAGAAGCAAAAAGGAAAATAAATATCTGTGCACTTTTAGGCCTTCCTCATATGCCAAAGCAAGAAAAATTACACCAACTTCTTTTTTTTTATTTTAATTTTAGAAAAAACACCAGTTGTAAGACCACAGCTACTAACAGTTCTGCACCACCTAGAAAATGTGAGGAATGCTAGTCAGAAGCGTGCTCATAGGATGAAATGCACACTCCATTCAGGTCAGATTATTCACAGCATTAACAATACATGGTACGATTAACAATATTCAACATCACAATAAGATTTAGAATAACAGATACCATGCATAGCTAGTGAATTTAAATGTCTTTCTTGCAGCCAATCTGTATTGTATCAGCAGAGGAGGCAGCGAGTTGGGTGCTTTTGCTGCTTTGGGTTAAATATGGAAAGACATAACTCCAGCACAGACAGGAAATAATGAAGTATTTTGTGTCAAGAGAAATAAACCCATAATGTCTCAGCAGGCAAATCCCTGGCAGCCTGAGGCAGTTTGATGTCTTGAGAAGAATAGGGTTGTGGCCCAAAGACTCGGTTTGACTGTGCAGCCTTGTGAAGAGACACTGCCTCTTTGCAACTAACCAATTCCTCCCTATGTCGAGTGTTTCTTGGTTTAATGAGGGCAATTTATTTTCACAGCCACACAAAAACCTACAGTGTCCACAAGAGTCTAAAATGTTCACATTTATGGTGATTTCTCCCTGCTCCTCCGTTTTTTTCCTTTTTGCCTTACTCTTGCAGTAGAAAGCCAGGCACACCCCCCAGGCACTATTTTTAAGAATTCTTCCTAGTTCAAACAAAGAACTTGTCTCTCTGGTCTTCCAGTCACTCACTTTCTCAGAACTAAGCAAGGTGTTTGCATACATCATATGTGACTGAGAACATGGTGGTTGCTTTTTCTCTTCTTCCAAGATTTCTACACAGGGCTATGACTTTGACAAAGTCAACCAGCAAAAGAAACAAAAATAATTTTCATAATGGTTTTTAAAGCAAAATTTATTTTTGTTTTTCTGGTTTCCTTTTTTGAGAAGGAAGTTTTAATGTCAGCAGAAAAATGTCAGTGAAGTGTTTAGGCGCTTTCATGTTCAGTCATATAGTCTTAAAACCATTGAGTTCAGAGTTTTCCCCACATTGCTGAAGTTGTTATTTTAAAGATATATTTAATAATGTTTGCTTTAACCACAATTGCAAAGAAGTTCCTATAATTACACAATTTCTCATTCATGACTTCCTTATAAATTGAACACTGGGATTTAAGATGTTTCCTAGCTGTGCTTGAAGGTGAAGTGTTATTTTAAGCTTGAGCAACGTGATTATACCTCAGCAAAGATTTTTGTGATATATGACCTTTTTACTAGTATAAATAAATGCTTATCACTTCAAGCAAGAAAGCAAGCAATGAGCCCACAGTGAATATTAGGCTAAGTCTGCTATTAACCCCAGCTGGCACTTCAGTCCTCCTCCTTGGTTTGAGAAAAGATGTCAGTTGGAAATTTCCTCCAGAAACACATACTCTGTGGCCTCTGCTAAGGACGTGTGTTGAACATGAAAAAAATCAGTATTTTAGCAGCATTTCTCATTCTGTTCAAGTGGACTGACTGATCGATATGGCAAGATAGGAAATTATTTGCAAAGATACTTGGATTAAGAAAATCTACAGCAACACAAGTTTCCCTAAATCCAACCAATTTCCTTCCTCCTCAGAAAACCCAGCTGAACAAAAATAACCCAACTGCCTTACTCCTTCTACCCAAAGGAGCTAACGGAATAAAATACAGATAAAATGCATTGCTTCTATTTCTCTTACACACACGCACGCAGAGAATGTGCAGTTTTACATGACCAAATGACATTTCTTCTAGAGGCTCCATTTCATTCAATGTCCAGAAAGACAAAAAGTGTTTAAGTTGAAACATTTAGTTTCATTTAAAACATTTAAGTTTAGAATGTCTGCATGGTGTATTAACGGTTATTGTCTGGTGCACAGTGAAAAAGGCAGGAGTCCTGCAGAACTGATAGTATGCAACTACGTAATTACAGACTATCGTAACGCCTGAGCATGAAGAACTTGAAGGCAGGTTGCCCAGGAGTCGGTCGATGGAGGAGCTGAGACTCTGCTCATGGATCCCATGCACTTGGCTCCAGGCAGTCCCTCCATGGCCTGCAGTGGCACTTGCTGCTACGGCGCACTATCGAACGACAAAGCTTGGTGATGCCTGGGAGCATGCTGAATACAGACCAGTTAACTATAGATGTAGGAAAGAAGAGTAAACTACACTGTGCACGTGCACACACACGTGGCGGAAAACTACATGTTAACTAAATGTCGTTTTCTGTTCCTAGACCACAAAGGTGTTCGAGCTCAAAGAGACACTGGAACACAGTTCTAATGTTAGCAGAGCTACCTGTTTCTCCTCAACCCCATTCCTGCAAATATGCTCTGCTGAAACGTGCCAGCCGTTCAGCCCAAGGCAGAGGGGAAACATCGCTTGGCAAAAATCACAGCAACTTCACCCAGCTTACGATAAGGTATTAGGCAACCACAGCACTACAGGTACCACAAGAAATGTCACCTAATTATACATTTTTGTAGAGGGCCAAGTTGATAAATGCACTGTCAGGCAAAAAAGTCTGGAAGGACCTGTATTTTGATCGCAGTTTTGACTGTACTGTCCTTGCCCACAGCTGTTCATTGGTCAAATCTCCACAGGTACTAATATGTAGTCACTCAAATAGATTTATATTTAGATCATCTCCCTTCCAGACTTGCTCCTTTTTTTGTTTAGGAAACCATTTTAATTTCTCAGCACAACAGTAATTGCAGCTTCGATTCTGTCTGACCTTTCACTGAGCCACATAAGAAGGCAACTGACTTCCACAAGAGCAGAAATTTTGCCATCCTCTGAGCTCGTAACGCATTAGTTGGCCACCACTGAAAATAAAAGAAGTGCTCTTACCAGAACAGACATCTCCACAACATCCGACGGCTGAAGGTACTCTGGGTCTACTTTGGGCCAGGACTGGTACAGCACATCAGCATCCCAATGATGATGAGTACAAAGTTTATTCTGCGTATGTGCTAAACCTAGAAAATGAAACCAGTCAAATGTTCAGTTGTACTGTAACCAGAACATTCAATCTTTGGAATTTGATAAATAAGATCAGAATAAAGTTGACTTTAAAAGCAAGTCGCTTAGGAGGAAATAACATTGTTTAGATCGGCACACAGCACATTATAAACAGAAAGACATACATCTTCGAAGCGCTTGTTTTCTACCATGTGTAGGGATGCTAACATGAACAATGTGGGCACATTTTAGATTTGGATTGGCACTCCAAAACTTTGCCAAAAGCACAGACGACCACTGCTTATTATTTTAAATTGTAATACTGCAACACAAGCTGACCTCTACTTCCAGAATTCAACCATAATACTACTTTTTTTTTTCAATAACACCACCAGTTTGATTAAAATTTTACTAAAAACACAATCAAAATGATAAATAATTATGGTTTATTATTTTACCATCTGTAATATGCTGGGTAGTTTTTAAATTTACAAGTCAATCTACTTGCAAGATTTTCTCATATCTTCTGAAGTATCTACCTTCTCACAAATTAAAGGTGCTACATAAGAGCACTTTGCACAGCTTGCTCTCCTTCTTATCATGCATACATTCTGAAACACCTTATCCTTTGATTTCATTTTAGAAACTCCTAAAAAGGCTATAAGTGATCTCCTTTTATTAAATAGGCTTTTCTCTGCCCAAGACAATTAATTCCTGATTTGTTTAAGTAACAGGAGAATAGGATGCAATTCATTCTGAAGCTGCATTCTTTAACTGAATAAAAGCTTCTGAGTGGGATTTATGTTGCTGTTTACTCCAGCTGTAGGACAAAGAGGCTGTCAAACAAGATCAATATTGATGATGATTGCTCTTGCGATTCTCACAAAGCCAGGGGATTTTTAAATTAAAAACATTCTCTGTGTGTGAATAAGAATACAGACTAAAACTTATTATAAGAACATGCTTCACTCAGAACTGCAAAATGTATGTGAAATCTCATATGGTTTAGGGAAACTCCAGCAAGAGCATAAAGAAAACCCATCAGCACAAGATTCACTGTTGAGACTGAGGTACCTGAAGCTCTTCAAAACACAGCACAATGGCAGACACAGCAGCAAAACCGACCCATGTGCAACACACACATGAATTCACCTAGCTGGATTGTTTAGACTAATACAGCACACAACAGCCAACAGAGATATAAAGAGAACGCAACTTCCTCCAGAAAAATCTGCCAGATTTTTGTCCGCGCTTTTTCAGACAAAGCACTTGGGTAAAGCGACACACAGCCTTGCTATTTGCTGAATGATCAGAAAGGGGCAGTGGGTGGACCAGTGGGAGCTATTCCTCACGGCAAGCAAGAACGTGCACGTTTCCTAACAATATCAACTAAGCCACAATTTTTTTAGGTAAATAATTGATTAAAACACTTCAATAGATCTGATTTTGTGTATTTTTTTCTCTTGCAGCAGTAGCTCAGAAACCAAAAAAGCAAAAGATAGGAACTCAAGCAGAAAAAAAATCTTTGCATTGGTGATTCATTATCACGTTGGCTTTAAAGACAACAGCTGCTAGATTCTTCCATTTTTGGCTTTTGAACATCCAGATGAGCTCATTTCTTTCCAAGTGATCACATGCCTTGTGGCAGAAGCATGCATACTGGCCACTCCTTATTTTCCTGTTGAAGTGGATTCTTCAACTATTTAAAAACCACTTTCTGACCTAAATCAAGAGCTTCTATCTATGAAAGCAAAACCAGGGTCACTTTTAATCCCCATGGAGGCTGTCAGTCCTAATAAACCTATCAAGAAAAAAATTTAAAATGTATTCTGAAGCAGATAAAGTGTGACTAAGCACAATGCCAATCTTTCGGTTTATTTTCTCACTACGAAATGAGCTATGAGCTCATCTATATTAAAAAAAAAAAAAGTGCGAAAGTCAACGGAACTAGTTTCAGAAAACAGAGTTTGACAGGAAGCCAAAATGAAGGTTTTAGTTATGTTGCCTGTTTGGCTTCCTGCCTTTATTCACATTTGGTGAGCTGTAGGACACAGCAGACGCAATGGCTTGGTTTGTAATTCCAAAATGCAACACACGAAAGATCAGAAACTTCATTGCCATGATCCAGAATGGTGATGGCCCGCTTGTCAGGACCCAGACAGAACCCTCCTCCAGCCTTCCCACTTGACACAAAAACACTGTTTGAGAAGTTAAAAACTGATAATTTCACGGACTTCTATTGTGAAAACATCAAGAACCTATTTTACTTTCTTAATGTACTGGAAAGCGCCCAGTGAAGTGCACTTTATGAAGCAGGGTGCATTTTGCTTTATATTTTTTTGATATATTTTGCTTTTACAGCCACAGATTCTCTAGCAGACGTAGGACAGAAAGGCAACTGAGTACACTTTTACTTATTGTAAGCCGTTTACTTATATGTACACATCTGTACAGCCATACAGGACAGAACAAGGACAATACTTGTGCTCAATCTGAAGCCCTCATCCTGCTATTGGATCTGCGTCATTTGACTTACCACTGACTAGCAAGCTAACACTGGAACAAAGTTTCCCTAATGAGTAACTCACAGCATCGGAGCCCAAGTTAAAACACCACGTCAGATGTGTATTACTATAAATGAGTTGAGAGAAGGAGGGGACAGGACAAGTCTAACAATGTTTCAGCTCATGGCAATGTTTTATTAGCATTACATGAGTATTTCACAAGCATAATACTTCCCCTAAGGTGCTATTTGGTGGGAAAGAGCAGATTCTCATTTTAAAGAGATCTCACAAGGAAGATGTGGAAGCAATTGTGTATCAGCAAGGTATTAGGACAGCAAGTTCATTCTAGTCTTACAGAAAAAAAGCACCAAAAAAAATTATCTGTAAAATGCCAGTAATAGTGCAGCTAGTTGGACACAAAATTATGTAAGCAAGATAAAAAGATGTGATTATGGAGTAAACTGAGTAAAAACTGGCATGGGACAAGCACTGGCCCAGAAAGGTTCACAAAGCAGAAATGTCAGGGAGGACGGAAGTCTTAATGGGCAATAAAAGGAAGTTAATGAGGCATCTGAAGCAACACCAGTATCAGAGTTTAGGACTAGGGATTTTCTAACAGGAGATATAAGAAGATCAGAGAGGGCGGTATAAGGTGACTGCGAGGTTGCGTTATCCAAACACTGATGACTTTTGGATTTCGCAAAATTGAAACAGTAGAAATCTGTGTTAAGTAAAAGTCCACCACACTAGCAGACAAGCCAATAAAAAAAAAAGTTCAGAGGAGGAGTATGTAAGGGTAAGTGAAGAAGCACTCTGGGTCAGTATCTTACTCCACTATGCAGCCTCTTCCAAGGACAGGATTATTACCACGTTAGTCTGTTCTTGATATGCTTTCTTACTATTTAATGAATGTTCCTATCTGACAGATTCAGGCATATCCGAAACACCCTTCTGCAGCCAAGGGGGAATACGTCTGTCAGTCATATGTGAAATGGTCTGCAATCTCAAAGAAACGATAGCAACACAATAACAGCCAATTCCAGACAGCTCTGAGAAAAACTGTCTTCTACTACTGGTAGAGTAGTACAGAACTGGGTAAAGTCAGGAAAATTTACATTTACTGAATACAGTACTAGGGGATTCATTTTATACATTCGCTAGTGACAGATGTGGAGCAGCAAGGTGGGTTGTGAAGAGCCTGGGTTACTAAAAGCTAATTCCAGAATGTGTTTCCAATTCAGCAAACTCCACGTGAATCCTTTTAACCTTCTGAAAATGATCTGCCTTCCTCCATTTGTATAGACTTACTATCCTTCACTTTGGGTTAATACTCTTGGAAGAAAAAAATATTTTTTGAATTACAAATTATGTTTCTTCTTGGATTTGTGAAAGGGGATTTCTGCATTCAGATTTTCAATTAAAATCTGAAACACCAATTAGCTTCTACTCAGCTCTATTCTTTACAGAATCATAGAATGTTGGAAGGGACCTCTGTGGGTCATCTAGTCCAACCCTCCTGCCAAAGCAGGGACACCTACAGTAGGCTGCACAGGACCTTGTCCAGGCGGGTCTTGAATATCTCCAGAGAAGGAGACTCCACAACCTCCCTGGGCATCCTGTTCCAGTGCTCCATTACCCTCAGAGGGAAGAAGTTCTTCCTCATGTTCAGACGGAACTTCCTGTGCTTCAGTTTGTGCCCATTGCCCCTTGTCCTGTCACTGGGCACCACTGAAAAGAGTTTGGCCCCATCCTCCTGACACCCACCCTCGAGATATTTATAAGCATTTGTTAGAAGCCTTCTTGAGTAAGGACTGAATTCAGATAAAGAAATTCTTGCAAAAGAGCTACTGCAGTGACAGTTAAAATGTTGCTAAGACAATTATATCACTACAAATTAAAAAAAAACATGTTTAATTTCAATAAATCTTCAGATGTGTTTATCATCAGTATATATCTTTCATGTGGCATCTCTAATAAAAATTTAACAACTCACAATAAGCAGTTTCATTTCCTCGTCTGGACAGCAAAATACTGTACTACTACAAACAAACTAAAAAAAAAAAAAACCCAGCTCTGCAATGGTGTCTGTATATTCCTCAGATACAAGGTTTCAGGAAGGAAACAGATTTCCTCATCCTGTTAGTGTTCATAAACTGCCAAGATGTCAGCCGGATGAACTCTTCCCACACTGAGGGGCTACAGGCGCTTTTTATGTTACGGAGCGATAAACCAGTGTATTCACAGCACAATTAAGACCATTAGGCTGACAAACCGAAATACTGAAAACTGTTCCTCCTCTAAGCAGAAGAAAGAACTCCTTCACACACAAAATACCAAAGCACTGGGTTACTATTGTTCAGCTGATGAAAGGTGAGGCACTTACCAAACAGCATTCAATAGCAGCTTTTCCTTCGCTCAGACTGGAAATATTTACTGCCAATACTGAAGTACGCTCTTCAACCAGCTCAGAGACAGACCAAACTCTTTGTTTCTACCCGATGCATGAGAAGATGATGGTCACATATGAACTAAGCCACACAGGAGCATAATTGTTTGGCCGCAGAAGAACAAAAATTGCTGTACCTTGAATCTATCTAATTTTATTTTAATCATACTTAAAAGTTGCACCCTACATCAGCAGCATCCTTGGGATATCAAACTGCAATTCTGGGTTTGTAAAGTTTGTCAACAACTAACAAAAACCCCACAGTGGATGAAAAAGCTAAAATTTCAAACCAACTCTGATACCACTCTTGCATAGCAGGATAGCGTTATTACAATCAAAATTACTTATATCACTGCTGCTAGTCATTATTTAAAATGCCAAGCAAAGCATCTTTAATTAGCACTCTAAAATAATCTTTGTAATTTTCCTAATACTTTCATTAGTTGGTAATCATTAAGATGGACTGACTTGCAGTTAAAAAAAGCTGCAAAGAACTTCTTTGCTAACCGAGAGGATACGCACATACAAATTTATACACTTGGCCAAGTTTTAATTTTTACAATCTATTGCGCAATTATTTTTTTTTTACACTTCATTGTGTTCTGTGTCAAATAGCTTTAGATTGAAGTGGAAATCAATTAAAATACAAAAAAAGCATGTTTTGCTATTTAAATATAAATGCGTTAAGAATGCAAGTATTTAAGAAAATGTGTGAGAAACAAAATTTATCATAACATGTTTTGCAGTTAAACATTATTTATTCGAGCAAAGGAGAACATTTTATGTTATTACTGAATAAATCTAACAGTATCAGATATTCTTGGACATCAGAGCCTTCAAGATTTTAATATTTATAGATGCTGGCCTCTTTTGCCTAGCTTTTTATTCCAAAACTAGAAAAGGAAAAAAGGTTGGTTGACTTTTTTTCAATTTCAAGAACATCTATCTTTTCAACTGAAAAAACACTATTTGCACCAGCAGAAAAGCTTCCAGTTGTCAAAAGTAATTTTATTACCTCCACAAAGCCTCATTCCAGGTGCTTAGCCAGAGAGGTCTATAGTTCTGTGGCTCAGCTCTCTTCAAACCTTTGGCAGAATTAACTTCATACCATACAATACACTAAGTCAGGGTCTTACTGTAGGTGGTCATTATTTAACATTTAGTTTTAAATTCTATAGTAATTTCTTCTTAAATGTTTTCTGGACCATAATCAGTGATCAGAAAAGCATCAAAAGAGAGATTACAACACAACAGTAAAAGTAGTATTCATCCTGTGAAGCACAATGCAAACAGTAAAAATTCATGAGACTGCTCTTTTCTTCTCTCTCTTTTAAGGCTGTAGTAAACCTATCTCTTTATGTAGTAAACACTTTCTAATGAGAAACGCTAATAAGAAAGCAAAATCCCTTTTCTTACAGGGCTTCCAGATTTCCCAGTTTCATTTTTGCCTGTAGAAAGAAAAATGCTCCTAAACCAAACAAAATGTAAAGGCTGCGTACAAGTTATTTTAGAATGAAATGTCAATATTTAATTATAGATATGTTGCTTATGTGTTCTTTATTCTTGGCATTACAATAGCAGACAGAGGCTTCCATCAAAGTGTGGGGGTTCACTGCTATAGGTGCTATCTTTAGAGCTAATATTACACAAAGTCCTTTTCCTGACTATGAGAGAGGAAGCAGCACTATCCCTGCATTCAGATGTAAAGCCAAGGTACAAAGAGAGACTTACTCTGAGTGTGTATGGAGAACTAAAGCACAAAGAAAACTAACCAGAGTATTTAGGAAGCTTAATTTTTATACTGCGATTATTTAAAATAAGAAAGCATCATCACCTGTACATAACAACATTTAAGAAATTGGTTACATCAGAAGAGCAACAAGACTTGGTGGAACCAGAGTGCAATTCAGAACATGAACTTGGGGAATCTTTCTCTAGACTATAGTTAAGACATTTTTCACCAGAAATCCCAGTCCCAGGACAGAATTGCTAGATGTTGGCTATTTCAAAAGAATACAGTCTTCTTACCACAACGCAGTAGTTAAATGCACATACATTCTCCTGATAAAATTCTTTATTAGCTTTGATGTAATGTAATGATGATCATGCTAAAAGAGATTGTGATTTTGATGTTTAGTCATAAAATTCCTCAGGCAATAATCACACAATATTTTTGGACACTAGTTGCACTGAATTACAATGTACAGTCTTTGGATCAATCAAGTAACACTCTATCTTTAAAGGCAGACAGACGCTGAGGACAATACACTCCCAATTTCCATATGCTTCCTTTCCATTCTTAAATCAGAGAGAGATCCAGAAAACGTTGATCATTCTCATTCTCCAGTGATTTTAGTAGTAAGAAAAGACTTCCTTCTCTAACATTCAAAATGTTACAGGTTTAAGCTTTACCTCTGACAAGTTAAGATTAATTAATTAAGACATCCTGGTGTTCTTCGTCATTTTATCAAACATATTTGATAATTCTGTATTGCCTAACATGTATTTGAATTTCAAGTTCACAAGGCACTGCATGTTTTAAGTAATTAGCCTGGACCTCTTCTGCCTCCATCTCAACCAATGAGGAAACAAAGTCGTGGCAATTACTTCCATGTAAGTATAATTATTAGATGGTACTTCATATTTTAAGAGAATATTGACCAGAAGTAGCTTTCTCCAGATGGATCCTGTCTGGTGCCACTTTTTATTCTAAACAATTAAGATTGTTTTAAGACATCTTCAAAACACTGGGAACGAAAACCCAGAAAAAAACCCACTCTCCCTAATACACCTTGCTCTTTCCAGAGTCTCTGCCCCTATCTTATTGCTTTGAACCAGGGCAGCCTTTCTTTGACAGTTGACATTACTACAGGGCCATGCACAGCTCTGACATACAAGCAGTTTAGTAGCTCTGCTCTGTAAACCCTTGAATGCACAGAGTTTTAGGATGACTGTTGAAGAAAATTAAACTGTTAAAACAGCATCCAAAAGCTAACATTAGGTCCAAAAACACATAGCAATTTGTGGCCAGTCTTAATGCAGAATGTATTCCAGTCTTCCCACACACATCTTGGGACTTCTCCCAGCAAACCTTAAGTGCAACTTCTGAACTCTGGCATGCATGTCCCTTCTTTCACAGGCTTTAACTGCAGCAGCACCGTGCAACTTAGCCCACTCGGGATTCACACCTCAAGGTTTACAACTGTGACAGATCTTAAAAAAAGATTTCCTGTCTACCATTCCCTTACAAGAGGTTAATCTGCAGCACAACGTCTCTCAGTCTCTGGGGAATTCGGCAAGAGTAGGATTGTTACTGAATACTCCTTTAGTCTTTTTAGTATACAGCCCTCTGACACGGTTCTCTCTGCCTGAATTCCTGAAATAAAATACGTGTAGCCCAAAGACTCTGAAACAGTTGTTTGAAAAAGGGCTGCTTCTATCCTCATGTTCGCTCTTCATACCACCGTCCATATACAGGAGCAGACAGCAGCTGGCATATGGATTCCTCATGAAAGTCCTGTCTTAAATTTTTCTTCCTTCTCCCTTTCTCTGCTCATTCTCAAGAAATCCACCTTTGTGTGCAAGGGGAAAGAAGCTAAAAGCAGAGAGAGAGATCTGGGAACACCACAAGTTTCAAGTTTGTTTGGGAATTATGACAGAAGGTGACAAGACAGATGCAGAATTCAGCGATAAGTGGCACCTACTATGTTAAAGACACTTTTGCAAACTTTTTGCCTTTTATCCTGGAACATCAATAACAAGTTTATTTCAGTAAATACCTTTCCACATCTCTGACGCAATGTGTGGAGCCATAGGCGCAACCATAATGCAGAGTGAAGCCAAAGCCTCTTCAAATTCTGTGCTGTGGAGAACAAGCTGCCGAGAAGCTTGCTAAGTGAAAAGAGGGAACAGAAAACAAATTGTTAATATTCTGAGGAGGGAGGGGGGAGGAAGTAGTTTAATTAAGAACAAAATGCAGTAATAAAACCTAAAAATCAATGTCTATGCTAAGGACAGCATAATTTCATAATAAATTGGAAACTTGTGAAAAGTTCTGGAGAATCAAAATCACAACTCGTGGTCACAGAGTGCTCTCTGACACTTGGAAACTGATCCTGAAGAGGCTGATGCAGACCCTTGGGGATCTGCTCTAGGAGTCTGACCACATACCCACGTGGACAACAGTGGCCCTCAAAAACATTCTGATTGCTGCCACCTCTAGAGGTGCAATCTTAGATAAAAACAGAGCTATCTGAGAAGAGGTGAAGTACTTGTATACGAGAGTCAAACTCTGCTGAATGCAGCATAGTCTTTATAGGGATAAGGTTCAGTCGCACAGGATCGTAGAGCGGCTTCAGCAACGTGGAATGTAGTGACAAAGTGAGGCTTTAGAGCTGAAGGAAGCTTTGGGAATGGAAGTGCAGCACAGCCTTTTACAGTTTGATGTTCAGATTGCTTTAGTAAAGTGTTCAGCTTCTCTGGTACGGAAAATTTCCAATTTCTTGCAAAAGGTGCTAGACTGACAAAATTCGAACCTTCATTCCTCTATTTATTGTATCTTAATAGAAAAGATATAGCACTAAAAGTAGCCAGACAAACTTTTTCTCTCTTTGCTTGTTTGACAGATTACATCCCACGGTAAATTTAGATTCTGTATTTATTTTGTAATTCACCCCTCTAATGAAACAGCACAGAAAAATGTCAACACACGTCAGCTTATGAGAATTACTTGGTGGGTGTGATGAACACCTGCTCCTGTCTACTACAAAATCATCCAAAACCAATTTGGCCTTGGATTTGTTTGACACAGACCACAAATGTTGTCAGATGGCATCTTCTTATCACCGATACTAATGAGCTCAGGGCAAACTAGATTTGAGTAAGTTGTAGTAACTACTACCTGCTTTCTATATTTAATCTTCACCCACCTCCCCACTTCCTCCCTTCAAATGGGAGTGAAAGAGGAAGTGTCAGCACGCTATACGGAAACTTGTTCTTGAAAGATACTGCACTGACTTCTTTGGTCAAGAAATACGTCAGTGCTCAAACATCTGGCTGTCTGTAGGACACTGATTTTTAATTTATTTTTTTTTTAAACATTCACTCATCACAATCCACCAGCCCAAAATGCATCCGAATCACTGAGCTGGAGATAAAGAACCATGTGTCACTTCCCCAACACCACACAGTGTCCCAGACTTTAGTTCTCAGTACAGCACTTGTGCATACCCTACCAATAATCTCCTTGGAACCCATAAGGTATAAAATGGTATTTCAATAAAGAAGTTGAAAAATCCAATTTTTTAAATTTTTTTTTTTTTTTACTTCTGGTCTAGATCAGGTTATCATTATATGCCTGAAGGATTGCTCAACCAGATCTAAGAGTAGTAACAAAAATAATGATAATAGTTTATTCTGTTTGATCTATAGCCACTGGCTGATAAACAGCAAGTTATTTTTATATTTGCTTTAAAAAGGGGAATTTGCGCACACTGTTACTGGCAGACAGTTCAGTGGTGTGAGCTGTCTCTGATGAATGTAAGATTACGTGTGGTTTTCCTTGCAAAGAATAACCTTTTTCTTTAAATCTGAATGTTTGGTAATTCTATAATGTACTACCATACTTAGCTATCTATGCAACTTGGTTAAACTCAAAAGAGAACAAAAACCAGAGCTAAACAAAATGTCTTCTTTTGAAATTACAGTATGCAGACATAAGCATCAGAACCCAGTGGCTCTAATACCACCAAGGTCTGCCTGCGAAACTGAGTATTTCAGGGTTACAGGGATACTAGAACATGCTGCTTTTGAACTGAACAATTCAACGAGGCTCTCGACTTAGTAGCAAAGTTTATGACAGTAAATGACTTACGGAAAGCTGGGCCAGCTCCTGCTTTGTATAAAGACCTACAGGAACAATGTCTGAGAGAAAAATACCTTCATTAATATCACGTACTTACATGGAGTATGTTAGTGAGGCTCATCAATCGGGAAATAGCTGCATTGAACAAATGATCCTTTGTGAAGTAGTCTGTTACCTTGTATGAGAAGAAAAGGTCTATCAGTAATTACTTAAAATTTCCAAACATGGAATATTGCGTTTTTAAATGAAAAAAAATTATTGGCAATCAATTTCAATTTGTCAAATATGCCCATCTTATCTCGCACATGAAAATCACTTTGGCATGCAAACACATCATATATGCAATCACATGTGTGTATGGGAAAACAATAATCCTACAAAAATTCAGTTGACTACCTTCCCCTCTGTTTCAGAATTTTAAAAGCTTCAATCAATGCCAATGAGAACCGTGTATTAGCAATCACCTTCTATTTCCTATAATAAAATATCTTCCCTTTGACCCTACAAGAGGCCTCCATACTTGTAAACCCAGTTATGCTGGTGAAAGCCTGTCCATAGATCGCAAGATTATAATTCTAAAGTCTGTAAAAGATCTCGAAGGTCCCACACCACAGGGTTTAAATCAGGAAATGTTTTTATCTGCAGAAAAATATTTTAAGTTCATTTTGCAGGTATTTATGTCTCCTTCTGAGTCTCGGATAATTGAGTTGACACTAATCACAGCATGAGACAACACATAAGAAGAGATGAACAGTCATTTCAGTAATTTGTTTCTTTAGGGTATGCTAATATATTTTCACCAACAACTTTTTTTTATTCTATATGAAACAGCAGGCATGATAATGAGGTGTGAAGCAAACAGATCAAGAGCTTTTGTTAGGGACAATCTGCATAACTCACCTATAGCTTTCCTACTGTAATGGAGTTACTCGAAACCCAGACTGATACCATTTTAATGCCATAACATTCATCGGTTAAGTGAGGCACACAGCAGAGAAATTTTGCCAATCCAAATCTTACTACTTTGCAAAAAAAAATTCTATCTCATAGGATTTGGAGGTAAATAGAATTACTTATACAGAAAACAATTCACTTAAAAATTAAGAGCTACTCATCTGGGGAAAACGCATTTGGCTCTGTAAGTCAAGCATATGGTTTTAGCATAAGAAGCAACTTATTTAGTAATTTACAAACTATGTAAGTGTTTCTTTTAACCTCAGAAATCACCAGATTCTTCTGCTCCCAGATCTTTCTGGCTTCAGCCTTCTCTTTCTTACTCAGAAGCTCAGGTTTGGGCATGGTTCCAGAAGTCCTTGCTTCAATAAGTTTGGTTACAAGCATCCAGAGGCGCGTCTGCCATCTCTGAACACCTGGCATAGCATCAGCTGAGATTAATGAAAGACAGCAGAAACAAATTTCAGTTACAATGAAAGAACAGTAAGCTTTAAAGAAAGTGGAAAGGAAACTGAATACTAGAGTTAAACATTAAAAAAAAAAAAAAAGTATTTTAAATGAAAAATGTCAATGTCAAAATGTTTAAATGAAAAATTATTATTTAAAAACAATGCTAGGTTGCCTTAATGGAAAGAAATCAATAAGTTAAAAGTATTTTTCTGTAATGACTTTAAAACATATATACAGCAACAGTATTTGCTAAATCTGTAAAACAACCCGATGTTATGTCAATGTTAGAACGCTCATCTTGTGTTTTAATGACTCAACAAAGCAGTTCTGCATGCTCTCAGTTTTCAAATTCCTGGAAGAATACAAACATACCTATATAACACACTCATACGCACACACATTTTTTGAATTGAGAGATTTCTTCTAAAATTTGGTTTTAGAAATTACATGTACTCTTGCTGCTACAGAGATGCTACTGTGCTAATGAGCATAGGCTCTGACCCTTGGTACCATCTTTTGACACAGCGTAGTTTGGGATGGGGAGATTATACAGCTGTTCACGCTGACCCTACAGGCATCAGTCCTGCTCTGTGGCTGCTTCAAGAACGTGTTTCTGAGACCTAGGGTCCACGCTACAGAGGTGCCCCAAGCTACTGCTGCGGCTCACAGCCAGGTCCTCCACATGGTGTGCTGCAGAGCCACTAGTGAAGGTATGGCTTGAGGTATGGCACTAATACGACTTTAGCTCTTCTTCCAGACATGTTGTGTTTCTGCTAGAGTGCACAGCACTACATCACACTGCACTGCACAGTATCAACGTATCCTAAGACATCCCAGCTGGCAAGAGCTTCCAATTCTGCTCCACCAACTGCACTTGAAAAGACCACCATGTAGATCCATCTAGATACGGTAGGCTTCACATTATCCAGACTGTAATGGTGTAATAAGCTGCTGGGTAAGTTTGACCACATCTGGTCCTGCATAGTCTGGAAGATTGCTTGCCCACACCAGTGGAGAGGGGGAGAGAATGACATGAGGCCCTGCCTTCATGTCCACTGCTGAAAAGACAAGGGCTCTAGTCTGAAGGACAATCCTCAAACAGCTACCAAAACACATCCAGTGAAGACAAGGATCATGGGAACTGAGAACCAGTATTTCATATTCTCCAAATAAGACAATTTTCTGCATTAGGTTTGCGTGGCAAGGTGTTGGTAGCAAGGAGGCTATGGGGGTAATTCCCTGAGAAGATGCCAGAAGCCTCTTCTGTGTCTGACAGAGCCAAGGCCAGCCGTCTCCAAGACGGTGCTGGCCAAGGCCAGGCCCACCAGTGACAGTGGTAGCACCTCTGGGATAACATTTAAAAAGGGCAGAAGAAAAAACTGCTGTGCAACAGCAGCTGGAAGAGAGAAGTGAAAATATGTGAGGGGGAAAAATATGTCAAAATCAAGGTCAGTGACGAAGGAAAGGGAGGAAGTGCTCCAGGTGCCAGAGCAGAGATTCCCCTGCCGCCTGTGAAGAAGACCATGGTGAGGCAGGCTGTCCCCCTGCAGCCCATGGAGAGCCCATGCTGGAGCAGGCTCCTGGCAGGACCTGTGGGCCCATGGAGAGAAAGGAGCCCATGCTGCAGCAGCTTTGCGGCAGGGCTTGTGACCCCCCACACTGGAGCAGCCCCTTCCTTAAGGACTGCAGCCCATGGGGGGACCCCATGCTGGAGCAGGGGAGGAGTGTGAGGAGGAAGGAGAGGCAGAGAAAATGTGTGACGAACTGATCACAGCCCCCACTCCCCGGGCCCCTGTGCCGCTCAGGGGAGGAGATAGAGAAATCGGGAGTGAAGTTAGCCCAGAAAGAAGGGAGGGGTGAGGGGAAGGTGTTTTAAGATTTGGTTTTATTTCTCCTTGCCCTACTCTGATTCTGACTGGTAACCAATTAAATTAATTCCCCTGAGTCGAGTCTGTGTTGCCTACGACGGCAATCTCCCTGTCCTTCTCTCGACCCATGAGCCTTTTGTTGTATTTTTCTCTCCCATCCAGCTGAAGAGCAGGGAGTGATAGAGTGGCTTGGTGCACACCTGGCATCCAGCCAAGGTCAAACCCACCACAACTTGATTTCATCGTTTTACACATTCACTATTTTGTTATCATTAAGCAAAATTCAGACCAAACCTTAAAGATTTAAGAGATGCTTTTCACCTACTTCCCATTTTTTTTCCCCTGGAAGTATCTTTAGGCTGCTAACACCTCCTTTTGTTCATATTTTCCAGTACTCTTTTAACACAAAGTGACTCAGAAATCTTTCTTTGTATGTCTCAAGTGGTAAACAGGTTGGTTTGAATGACTAAATGCATTTTTGCAAGCATTATACCTGCACGTGCTTAGCTTTCTTAAAAAATGTTTAACTACCAAGCTCTAGTATACTTTGCAACTAAGATTTTGTACCCATAATTCTCACACTAATTTAATTATTCTATTTTTGAGATTGAAAAATACAGGAAAAAGATTGTTCATCACCGAATTAGCTGCTTCAGAGGGAATTATGTACCTGTGCACTGTTAGGGATGCCAGTGTTAAGGCTTGATTCCAAGTGGTTGGCTTTTTTAAGAGACCTTTTCATATGCCTAGCTCTGCACTGTTGTGATTAGATGGTGACAGAAAGCCAACTGAGAAAAGTCCCAAAGCCCACTCCTCCAGTACATACAACAGTGCAATAAAATATAAATGAACACATATGAATGTAAAGGGTGACAGACACCAACTGAAATAATACTTAGTGCAGGACGAACTAAGTAGCAAGAAGCTAAAACAAGAAAGAATGAAGAAGTATACCTTTTTAAACCAGACATGCAGTGTTTTATTAAAGCCTTATGCAACAAGAGGGCTAGATTTAAATGTATGCATAGGACTACATTAAAATGTGTGAACCACAGCAGATAAAAGAAATTAAGATCTGTCAGTATGACAAATCGCATGGTGGCAGTAAATAAGTGCGTAGGAGGGTAAATCTTTACTTAGTCAGGAAAGAAGCTCATTAAAATGTCACGTGCATACAAATACTAGTTACTAGGAACTCTGATTATTTTCTAACGAGATTCTTCCGAAAAGTATTTTATAGTCCAGCTTACAAAAGCCATTGCATACATGTAAATAAATAGAAATAATAAAATATTGCAAAGTTTTATCCATAATCTGACATAATTTTAAAAAGCAGCTCATAATGAACAGAATAATCTTACAGTAATAATCTTCAGTCAATCACAGCTAATAAAAAAGTAAGAGAATGAGGTCCAAGTTTGCAGAAGAGAATACCACTTAGAAGTACTTTTTATGCATGCTTTTAGCTCGTAAGTCAAGCTGCTTGCAATAATCTTGCAAGCCTGCCAGTCAGTGACAGTTGTGACCCCCTCTCTTAAAAGAAACAAACAATAAAACCTGCTCATTATACTTTTTTGATGCAATTGTTCTAAAACTTGGGCATCGAGAACTGTATTAATTTTGTGTTTAAAATATAACACACTGGGAAAAAAAAAAAAAACAACAAACCAAACAACAGAAACAATCCGACTTACTTTTAGCATCCCACAAAATATCTTGTTCTGGAGGAGCAGCAAACAGAATGTAAAGACGTAGAGTGTCAATACCATATTCTCTTATGCATTCTTCAGGGTCTATTCCATTGTGCTTAGATTTGCTCATTTTTTCCCATGCAGCTTGGAGCTTCTCACCGGTTTTTAGGTGAACAGGTTCATTTCCTAAATATTAAGACATACGCAAAATATTAACACAAATTTTATTGATTTATAACAGCAGTTAATTTTGTTCTCTAAGCATAAGAACAAACAACTATTTCTAGCGTGGTTTTTTTTGGTTTCCAAACAGCTTAAAGAGGAAGAACACCGACTGTAAACACCCTCTTCCCTCCCAAGTTTTTCCTAGTTTAATGTTTTAACACAAATAGCATCACATTGCTTCCACTACATCATGACAGAAAGTCTTCTCTACCATTTGGAAGCCATATCTGGCGCTCATCCTATGTGCTACCTTGATAGCCCCTGAGATTTAAACATTGTTATAACCACGAGATTTAAAACCTCCTAGGATAGATGTACTGATTTGGTACAGTTCTGACCTGCGCTTAACTTTCACAAACACCAGATTTAGAGGTTTCAATTGCAGTAAGTTATTCCTGTTACATGAATTTAGAGATGGAAAGGGGCATTTATACTGATAAAGGTGCAACCGAGTAAAATCACCCACCACAGAAAAGACCTAGCTTTTCTGGAAGAAAACAGGATAGCAGCCAGTGGTAAATATAAGGGTTTTTTTTTTGGGTTTTAACTGACTTATGGGGTTTGTATGCAGGAGAACAGTGAAAACAAGGTTGTGCGGGAGGAGTGCTTAAGGGAGGCAAATATGACCAAACCACTGTTGTTGCTACAGGTCCCCAAGCCAAGACTTGCTGCTCCAGGTTTATGCAGCAAAGGCACTGGAAAGAACTTGAGAAACCGCACTTTTTCCTATACATGTATCACATTCCTTATATCTACTGAATAGGTCGTCTGTTTGCTAGGACTGCGAGCTCCATTCACCAAGCTGCTGAGCACCATCTTAACAAAACTGACTTCTGATATTTTGGACAATACTGGAGCTAAAATAATACCATAGCACTGTTTCTGTGTCTGGAGGCAATTAAAAGCTGCTGGATTAGTAGGGTCTCTCTGTGCCTTCAGCAGTGCGTATGAATCTGAAACTCACAGAGATTGCTCCCCAGTTCAAATATTACAAGGATTCATTTTCTCTTCCAAGTTTTCCCAGCACTGAGACTTGTATACTGAAGCGGTCCCTGACTTTCTGGATGCACCTGTGCCGATTTTCCCATGCAGTCTCTCTTACCAGTGAGATCAACCTCCTCTCTCTTCAAACACTGGCCTGTTGTTGTTAGTCTGAATGTCCGATTCTTGATAAGACCTTGAACCAAGAGCTTATGGAAAGGCTCCCTAGGGATGGAAGAAAAAAGAAACTTGTCTGTTGAAAAGAGCTGTCAAAAGCATACTTCATGATAAGCTTCAGGTGTTAAGCCAATCAGGCACAATTATTTAATGAAACAAGAATTTCAGGTTGACTGTGCGCAAATGGTTGTCACCTTAGAAAGAGTATTTTGTGCATTTATTCACCATGGCTGGCTGACAAGTGTTTATTTGTATTCCGCACACATTCTTGCATCCTGATTTAGTACTGAGTTATTCTAACGTCACTCTTTAAATTAGCATATGGATAATACACAGAAGTTTCTAGGCCAACAGTGCAATTTCACTAATTTCAAGCTAAATGCCCATGTGTGAAAACATTCAAGTACCTGGCCTCACTGTCTTACAAATATTTAGTTCTAGCTTCTCTGAAATCAAACTCTCACTGCACATTTCTTTGTACAAACAGAGAAGACAGTTCCTCTAACATCAGCGCTTGCATGCCTTGTCCCTTTGCAGAACTAGCCGTGAAGACCTAGCTGTAAGAAAAAAGTACACTAGTAAAACGGCAACGCTGGAAACTTCGTATGTCAGTGGATCAATTTTTTAGCATCTTGAACATTAAAACTTTACTTTTCAAGCAAAATTTACATCAGGAAGATTAAACTCTCATTTTATGTCAGTATTACAGAGCTAAAAAGAGCCTTAAAAGCACCAAATCTAAGGGCAGTAGTCCGCTCAGCGAGAAGTAAGCTTTAAGTAAACACTGCTCTGACTGACAGACACATTATTGTGGCACCTCCTTTAGTGATCTCACATTTCTAATTCATCGAGTCAGATGTCTGTCGCTGTTTTCAGTGAAAAAAAGACAAGAAAATCAATCTCTAGAGGTTTTGGTTCCCACTCCATAGGCCAGGAAAGTTAGATGGTTCTAACAGCAACCCCAAGCGCAGCAGGGCCCAGGGAGGAGGTACGGAGCCAGACCCAGAAGGGGTACGCAGTCTGGGGAGCCTCCAACACAAAGACATCGGTGACAACATTCTGGAGGACGTGCTTATCAGCACTGGTTACTATTGACTTGCACCTTCTAACGCTGACATGTGCTCAACATTAAACAATCTGAATCCTCCACTCTTTCACCTAAAGAAGCCCCACATAGCTACCAAAACAATTTATGTAAAAAGGATGTATTACTCCTATTTACATATTTTTTAAAAAGCTAGAATAAACTAATAGTAAAACCAGACTTCCACATTTTACTTCACGTGTACAAAAAGTCACAATCCAAAACACTACTCACTTTTAAGGAGTTAATTTAGTATTTTACATTATTAGGAAATACAAATTATATGACAATTCATCTCACGATTCAAAACAGTAATTTATTTAATAATATAGCTAAAGTATTATTAAATTATATAACAATTATGCATGTTTTAAAGCAGGTATATTCCAAGTACTAGTCTTTAAACCCTTTTGATGGCTCTGAAGCAGATATTTGAAAGAACAGCCTTAAACTGGGAAAGAGAAAGTGACAGACTTCATACTTTATCTTCAACATATTCAGGTTTGAACATGAGTTTCCCTTCCTGCATATTTTGTATACTTCTAAATACTGTGCAAGTACTGGCACATAGCGGTGTATCATTCAGTCCCCAAGCAGTCTGAGTCTCTGCTATGCCACCTGGTTTTATCAACAATGTTAAGTAAGAGCAGCAATTCAAGCATCTCGAAATATTTTCTAGACAATATTTCACAGGTTGCCTGAAAAATCCTGTTGTTTAGAAATAAATTAAAGGCACTTAAGGAGATGAGAATTGAAGCCAAATGTAGACAGTACAAGCAAAAAAAAGTATTTTAAAAATATGAGGCAATAATTATCTATAATCTCAAATAATTATCATAAATTATCTATAGGAATTAGAAGATGAAAATCGGAAGCAAAAACCTTGTAATCATATCACCAACAAATGCTTCAGGACTGTTCAGGATAAGTTTCTTCTACAAACTAAGGATGTTACATCAAGGAAAAATAAAAAGAATTCTTCCCCCTATCCTTCAGCACTGCAGTCTGTTGAAGATCTCAAACAGTTATTAAAATAGCTACACTTGCTGAGGTACCCAGAACATCCAAATCAGATACTGCTCTCCACTGGAAGTGATTTTTCGAGGAACACTTGTTTTTAATGACAAAGAGTTAGTTCAGATCATGTGTCAAGTTATTAAAAGCTGAACGCAGGAATGAGCATTTCCTATATTTGTTTATGCTGACAGAGGCTACAAAAATGCAATACAAAATACATTACCAAGTATGGGGAAAGAACCCACCACGTGTTCCTAGTGGGAGACCACAGGAGAATGGAGACATGCCCAAAATGAGAAAGCCAGAGCCCGTCTAACAAACACAGGGCTCAGAAACAAATTAAGCCCTGTATTGAATTTCTCCTGAAATGCACAGTGATTTTGCCAGTGTTGTGGTGGCTCCATCTCATGGTCACATGCCAAGTTCCACTTTCATTTAACAAAAACACACACCTAAAACCTTCCCCTTCAAAGAAAGTGATGTGTTTCGTGGTTGCAGAGGCAACTGCCAAACACCACAGCACATCACATGTGATGCAACTCCGATCTAAACACTGCGGCACCCAGTCATGGCCTGGCATCATAAATACCTCCTGAGCCATACCACTGCAAACAACTGAAATTAAGCCATGTTCAGACAGACATTCATTTCTGGCACAGTAGACAAAGAGGTGGCTTGAGTGGCTTTGAATGCTCAGTCGCATCTCAGAAGGTAAGGATGCTGGAAGGGGATATGCCTTCCCCTGCCCGTGAAGTTTGTTTATGCCCATGCTGCAGTATGGGCACTGTGGCCTTTGTTGCGTGCAGCTTTTGATCATGTTGTACATCAGACCCCACACAGGGACCCCACCTGTGAGGTCTGCCTGACACCTCCAAGAAGGATCAGCTGTGCTAGCCATGAAGTGTGTAATCCATCTTCTTCCTTTCAGTAATGCTCGTATACAAGTTCATCTCTACAATAGACCAATCTCTCTATACAGGAGCACGCCATGGATGGAGGGGCAAGAGTGACTGACAGATCAGGAACTCCTGCTCAGTGCTAGTCCTCATGCTGCTTGCTTTGCTCCACGCACAGCGAGTAGCAGGACTTTCAATCCAATTACAAATGACCTGGCAGGAAGGACTCTGTGGAGCCTACAACAGTGATAAACGGCAGACTCAGAAGGGACAGACCTAGCAAGGGAGCTCACTGCATGCATTTGCATCCCGCACCTCTAGAAAGGCTGAGAGAGCCCGACGGTGTGCCCTAAAGACAAGACGGTCACTGTCAGCTGAGTGCAGGTGCTTGTGAAACCTCCTGTTAGACCTGGCTGTAACAATCCAGCAGCTCCGTGGAAGGCCAGAACAGAAGTGATTGGAGGATGTGGAAGCTGACCATTTCAGGCAGAAAAAAGATCAAACAATACTGAATGTTCAAGATCTTACACAGTCAATAGCTGAGTGCTTTTACTTCAAATCAACACTAGTGATAAAGTGCCTAATGAACATAGAGAAGCTCTATCATCCTCCCTTCACAGAATAAGCTATTTCTGTCACACACATATCTTAGTTTATTCTGTAAGGCAGCTATGTGAAAATAGTGCCTTCTTACTCAACAGATTTGCTCTCTACCACAGTCAAATCTGCTGACTTAATGGCAACAGTAAACTTTTTTATTGCTTTATAATCCTTCTGAGAGAACGTGCTAGATCCTATATCCAATTATTCACCAGACAGAACTGGTTGCTGAAGTCCAGGGAAGAGTCATATTCCGTGTAACTTGTACTTGCAGTAAGACAGCTGAGCAGGTGTAACCGAGTGTTTCAGCACACACTTGCCATGGTGGACTAAGCTGGAACAGATGTAGAGGTTGCTGCCCCAGCTGCTTACCTGGCCCCTCTCCCAGTGGTGGTCACAGCTGGCGGGGCTGACTGGCTTGTGAATTCATTCTAGAACTGATGCACTTCACAGACCAGATTGCTAAAACAAAACGACATCCATTTGGGCTTAATCTGTTATCACACGTACCGATACCCAGAGGGTGCAATTTATTCTGCCTTGTCATTACTGAGGAAATGAGCAACATTTCCCACCATCTCCAGTTTCCACTAAAAAAAATTAAAATAAAAGATAATGCCTCATCTTCAGGGGATATTTAAACTATATTAACACATTTGCAAGTTTCGATGCTGACTAAGATTGCATTTTCTACGAAAGCATGTGTGATATCTGTAAATGCCTATTTTAAATATGACACCTGTTATATTTCTGTAATAATATACGTCATATTTGAAGAGATTGCTTTGAAAATCTAAACTATGGAATTTAAAACTTCTGTTTTCAACCTCATTATTATATTAATAACCATTACTACAGAATTAAAGACTATCAGGAAATATTTCAATGGATTTGAAAGTCAGAGGATAGGAGCCAAACAAAATTTCCATGAAGGAAACCTATCAAAATGACAAATTACTACTGATGAATAGAGGAATCATAAAAATTTGTCAGGATACTAGATAACACTTCAAATGGTGGCAGCTCTCATTAACTGAGTTACAGCAGAATTTTACTAAAGTAGTCAGTGAACAAGAACTGAGCTACTAGAGAAAGACTGAAAATGCACAAGAGGGCAGTGTTTTTTAACATTTTAATGTCTTCCCTCGGAGCTGTGGGCTTCGAGGTCAGAACTTTAAGCTTCCTAACAATAAGCTTATTGTTTCTAATCATCCTTTTCAGATCTCTCAGACCAGCCCCTGAGCAGTCCTAACAGAAGACTGAGCAAAAGCGGCTTCTGACCAATGCTAAATCATTTAAAACACATGACAACGTTTATAAAGGAGTTGCTATTTCCATATCAAAACAAAATTCTAATTTGACTTCATGGCTTAAAAACACCTAATGCTTTCACCTGCGCAGAGCTAAAGCAAGCAAACCATTCTGCACATTCTGATGAATTTGTTGCAGTCATCTTGCAGCCTGAGCACACACGAAAGTGGTACAAACAACAGATCCTAGGGGCAATGCTGTCACGTATCTTTACATGTGCAACAGTTCTTGAGACTGTATATGGTGTCAAAGGAATTCTCCACAGTCTTGCAAACTACTACAGAATGCAATTTTGATTTTCTCTGCTATTGTCACTAGACGTATTCAGTGCTTAAGCATTTCTTTTCATTGAAATTAGAGTTCTCTTCTGCATTTTACCATATTTAGACCAGTTTACACTACACAGCTTTGGTGCTACTGCTCTGTCACAGTGGAATGTGAACAAAACACGTTCCAAATTAATACAGCGACAGAATCGCGGAGTCTTAAAATAATGTAGGTTGGAAGGGACCTTTGGAAGTCATTTGGTCCAACTCCTTTCTCACAGCAGACCTAACTTCAGGTTGCTCAGGGCCCTGTCCAGCTGAGTTTTCAAAAAATCCCACAACCCCTCTGGTCAAACTGTTCCAGTCTGATAGCCTTCACTGTCAAAATGATTTTCGTTCTGTCCAGCTGGACCTTGCTGCAATCTGTGACTGTTACTCCTTTCTTTCTCTGTACATCTCTGAGAAGGTCTGGTTCTGTCCTCTCTAGAAATCTTCTTCAGGTAACAGTAGACTGCAGTTACATTCCCTCTTTAGCCTTCTCTTCTCTGTGGTAAACACATCCAACTCCCTCAGCCTCTCCTTGTATGCCATATGCTTCAGGCCCTGATTATCGCAAGTCCCAGCTGCTTCTGTGGGTAATCTGCTACGTGCACCTGAGATTCCTGTCAGCACTTCAGACTTGCTTCTCCAATGCGTGGAAGCCCTCTGCACAGCAGCCCTGCCATCCAGAGTATCAGTGGCTTCTCTCAGTGCGCAGTGACCAGTGAACTTGCTGGGGATGCGCGCTTTCTTGCACTACCCAGGTTGTTGATGAAGATGTTAAATACAGTTGGTCTCAGCAGTGACTCCTGAGGAACATCACTCGCAAACAGCTGCCAGTCAGACTTTGAACATTGACCCTTTTAGCCTGATGGTCTAGACAGTTTTTCCAACCATGCTGTAGTCCACCCATTCAGCCTGTATCTCCCCGGTCGGACTACAAGGATGCCATGGGAGAGCTTGTTAAGAACCTTGCTGAAGTCATAGTAAAAGATACACACAGCTCTCTCCACAACCTCAGACGGAATCATCTCACCGTAGTAGGAAGGTAGATTAAGTTGGGCACAATTTTCTCTTGGTAAATCCATGGCGGCTACTCCCAGTCACCTTGTTTTTCATGTCCCATGGACTTGTACATGTCTGCTTTACTTAAGTGATCCCTAACTCAATCCTGCTCTACAGTGGGTAGTACCTCCATCCTTCAAATTCTCCTACTAAGCCCAGACCTCGACAGCAAAGGTCAAGGCACAGATTATCCTTTGCTGCTAGGCTATTTCTCTCATTTTGCACCAGGCCAACATTTTCCTTGATGTTCTTTCCAACGTATCTGCAGAAGACCTTCTTACTGCCTTCACATTCTTGACCAGCTTGAATTCTAGATAAGCTATGGCCTTTCCTAATTCCACCCTGCCAACACTTCCACATTCCTCCAGGGGTAGCCCATCCTTGCTTCCACTTTCCGTTAACTTCTTTTAGTGCTTGAGCTCACTCAGGAGGTCCCTTTTCAGCCAAGCTGGCCTCTTTCCATGCTTCCTCATTTTCTTGCACACAGGAGTGGACCATTTACTTTGCAAGCAAACCTCCCCTTCCTTTTGGTCTCAGTTTACAGTGACAATACTTCAGCCACCACAGTTAATGTCATTTTGAGAAAACACATTGCCTGTTTTCATCAAATGATTATGAAATAACTCAGTGAAATATTCTGCTGGCTCCACTAACTAGCCCATCTTTTTCTGACACATAGCTACTTAAGTTTTAGTTTTGTAGCAAAACTACTGCATTCATGAGAGTTCAGTGCCTTGTATATGTAGGTTCCTCTTTTAAATCAAGTTTTTAGAGCAGGTACTAGTAAAGAATGAATGCATACGAGTTGCCAGCTGAGAAATTACTGAGCAGTTCTTCTCATGGGATCACCCATTTTGACTCAAATCTATTCAAATGTCTCTGCTGATGGGAGAACAGGACAGAGCACGGGGCAGTATTTCCTCACTCTGACACTGAATGGGGACGTCAAGCTTGGAACCTAACCGAGAAGACAAAGAATAGCACATCAGATGACTTACCTTCCTGCCTCAAACTTTACTTCTAACCAAAACATAGGATAATGAATCAGGCTATAGCAGCATCAGTAGTAAGGGTAGCTAAAAGTAATTATATAAAATTAATTAAATAAAAAATAAACTGACAGCAGATAAATATACTGCTTTGGCTTATCAAAAAGTGGTTTGCACTGTTCAGCTCCAATACTGCAGTGAATTATAGGAGAGCCTAGTTTTCTGCATATGCATGGCTCCACTGAAATTAATGGTATTACTGCCAGGACGTTACCCAATTTGAAATAATAGCACTACTCAGAACTCCTGAAGTTACTAGTTTATGCAAGCTGTTGCAGGCTGAAAATCTACAGCAGCATTTTATGACTTGCTCTGAGCCAGCTAATACTTATGGAATAAAAACGCTATGTATGTACGCATACAGGAAATGCAACTGTGAGAAACCAAGTAGTTAGCCAAGACTGACAAGCCGGAGAATTCAGGCTTATTCAATGTAATATTCTACCATCATAACAATGTCCACCAACACTCTTGCTAGCCAAATGAAATAAGAAAGATTTTTACAGAAATACTTAAGGCTTACTTGTGTTTTGTCATCTTTAGATCATGGCAAAAATGGCTGAAAAACCTTGCATAGAATAAGTGCATAACTGCATGCTCCTTTCCTCCGATGTACAAATCCACAGGCATCCAGTAGTCTGCTATGTCACTATTAAAGGGCCTGAAAAAACACAATTATAGAAAAAATATAACGTGGAAAAGAAAGATCAGCTCTACTAAAGTAGCTCATCATACTTCACTGGACATCACTGTTTACTGAGAGCAACACATGTATAACACAACTTTCATTTTGCTATCAGATCTTTTCAATTTCTAAGAAGTAGTATGCTTATTAAATTATAGACAAAAAATTTAATTTCCACTGAGATACAGATCCACAAAACTACAATTTTCTTGTATTTTAGGCGAGCGACTAAGGTTTCACATACATTACCTGGGAAAGTGAAGCAAGTATTTGCCTGCTTTTTAAATGATTTTTTTACAAATACCCTGTGGCTAGCCTTTCAATTTTTTAGTATTTATCAAGTTTTACATTCAAATATATTAGAGTCAAAGGCAAAAGACATGCCTAGTCAAAAACAGTTTGTTTTTTTTTTTTAATTAGAGGTTTGCATTGTTGCCATTAGGGGCGATGAAGCAGTTTAAGGGTGCAAAACATTCTGAAGAGTCAGATGGTTCATTGCACTCCAGCTGAAGGATGCTCGGTGAATTTACAGTAAATTTGTAATTTACAGCATATTTACTCTGTCGTTGGAGGTCACCTGCATCGTTTCCTAGCATTGCTTACTGCTTCATAAATATTGTTCCGTCTCCTGCCTGCAAAATACCATCTCTATAGATGTTCTTCTTTAATGCATGCTTTACGGCCCCACACTAACAAATGTACTTATTTTGTCAGTCTGTCTGATTATTCCATCTGTAATTTTTGTAATAGCAACCCTTCATTGTCACAGATGAGCCCAGAAGCAAATTGTGGATCTAGTATTCATGTCTTTAGTGGAACAAATCAAAACGAGTCTGTTCACAGGGTTCCAAAATCAACAGAGTAATTCTCCCAGCTACTCAACCTGTGAAATACGGCTTATGGAAATAAAGGGTTTACGTATACGCAGCTTAGCTAAAAAACCCCAAATAAACAAATCAAGTGGAGGTAGCGATCTAGTGCAGAAGTCTATATAAATGTTCTTATTTCAATACAAAGCAGATTTAGCTACACTAAGCGGTTACTTCAATGTCTGGATGTTACATCTGACTATTTCTTCTTCAACTTCTGGAAAAGTTCCTCCTGTCCATGCACAAAAAAAAAATATTTCAAACTGTCTTTGAAGAGGCAGCAATCCGCCTAACTTAATAATATTAATAATAAATTCACACTATCGCTAAGAAATAATTAAAATTAACATGAAATAAACATGTTCATAGAAGATTTTCCTTTAGTTTAACTAAACTAGTGCTGCCAATATAAAAAAAATTATTGGTTCAGCTATACTAAATCACTCAGTATCTAGTATGTACGCAGACACTGCTCTGGACAATAAATAAGGAAATAAATCCCCAAACAGCCCTACATGTGGCATCAATGTCTTAAAAATGCAGCTCTTTCTATCTTCCTTTGACTAGATAGTAGTAGTTTCCTCCCTGAAGCAAACAGTGCTATCAGCGGCACCGCTACAGGCAGACGACGAAGCATGAAACCAGCTAAATATCTACATGTGTCGTCCCACACTCTCCACACTGCAGCCACTAACACACCGCACATGAGAAATCTCCATTAATTACGCCTATAGTCCAAGTGCCGCCGTGGCAGGAGCTGGCTGCGATGCCACCTCACTTCAGGTCTGTGCACGAGGAAGCGGCAAGAGCTACTGGAATTCAAAAGGAGAGAAACGTAGGTGCCATTCTTGGGTGTTGCGGGATGTTACACCGGACTATTCCTCTTTTTACCAGTGGAAAAGCACTGTCTGCCCACACACTGAGCTACTCCGAGTATTCCCAGGGAGGGAACACTCCACGTGCGACTCAGCACAGCCTCAGCGGGTGTCATTCACGGCAGGCTGTCGTTCTTGATGGCACCCTCCGCTAAGGACTATCTCCTCCGTGCCCTGTCCCGTAACACCCTTTCATGCAAGCTTCTGCACCTTGTCGTGTAGCTCCTGTGTGACCACAGCTGTCTCTGCTTGCCCTGCTCTTGTACATCTCCTGGCACGGGAGCAACCAGATGCCACGTTCTTGGAGCAATTCCTTGCCCACCGTGTGCTGCGCTCAGGGGCCAGAGGGCAGGCACAAAACCAGGGCACCGCGGGGGTTTACGACGCCTTCTGCGAAGGCAGTGGGAAGCCAGCAGCCCCGGAGCGTCTGTCCCCATCCTCCTGCTCCATTCTGCGCGGCGGGCTCACCCCTCGACAGCCCTGCGCCTGTCGCCCTCACCTCTCCCTGTTGCGAGGGTCTGTGTACCTCAGGTAGTACCACGCGGAGTCGACAAAGGTGTCCATCGTGTCGGTTTCCCGCCTTGCTGCGGCCTTACACCTGAGCAAGAGAGCAGGAGAAAGGCTACATTTAGACAAGTGACGAGCTTGAAAAACCCAGCCGTGCACAGAGCGGCGACAAAGACGTTGAGCTTGAAAACTGAACGGGTCTGAACAGTCTGAAGAGTGACAGGTTCAGAAAAAGTCCAACGCCAGTAACAGGGCTGATTCTCCTTCCCCCTCCCTCCCAAACCAAACAAAATGCAAACCAAAAAGAAGCCTGAACAGCTATAACATCACATCCAGCAATAGCAGAAGACAACACCGTACCGGACAGCCCTCTCAATCATATGTTCCTGGAATTTTTTAGAATTGCCGTTTTCAAAGAAACGAAGCGAGTCTTCAAGCACAGACAAGTGTACTTTGCCACACAGTCAGTGGGTACTAAACATCTATCACACTCATCAGGTACCAGCAGACAAACCATTTTATAAACATTAAGCAGGAGGAGCAGGTGGTTGCCTCTCACTGATTGTCCGTACAAAAAGGTCTTTGCAGATTCCATTTATCATCTCTAGAAAAAATGAACTTAGTTTAATTTCAGCTTTCACTGAGATGTAGCAAATCTCTCCTCGACCTTGTAGCACAACTAATTTGTGATTCTGGCAAATCCATTTTTGCTTGGAGTTATTTGGCAGCCCTGAGAAACAGCTTTAAAATAAATTTTAGAAAGCTCAGGTTCCTTTCTGCTAATTTCTCCCTGAATATAAATTGTTGGTAGGAGCCAATAATCACATTTAATAAACTTCCCTTTGGTGTAAGTGATCCCTCTTTAACACCCTTACTGTTAGAACAATGGGATTATTCTAATGTCAACAAAACTTTGCACCCTGTGACATACTTGTATATAAATACCACTGGCTATATGTAACAAATGTGTGCAATTTATAACTGTATGTAAATTCAAATGCATGCACATGTGTAATAAATATACATAATAAATGGGGACTAGCTATTTATTATATTCCAGTGGCATATTTAGTCTCTGATCAGGCTTGACAACTGAGCAGCAGCATCTGTCTGCCTGCCTGCCTGATACTTCTGGCTTGCCGAGGCAAGTTTATGAGAGCATCACCACTTAACTTTTCCCTTCACCCTGTCTCTGCCCCAGGTCCCTTTCTACCAGCAAGTTTTTCTTTCCATGGGAATAATGTAGTAAAGAAATTTTACTTCTAACCATTTTATTAAATTGCACATATAAGTAGTGACTTGGTCAATATAAAATAATACTGTGTTACATTGAAACAGAGTGGCTTTTCAGTCAGGAATACTTTACAGTCATTGAACCCTAATTATATGTGCTTCATACCTCTGATGTTGCCTGTACTCTAAATGGACACGGCTCGCTAACACAGAGACAGCATGGGCATCTTTCAGAATTTATACAATTTTTATCAATATTGTCATTACCGGTACAATACTGTAATCTCATTAGACAATCTTCAGACAAGTAACACAATTACCTGGGCTTGTATAACAATGAATAACTTGGGCATCTCCTTCCATTTGATAGCCAACGTTATTGTCACTCAAGTACTCACAGACTTTTGTATCTTTCAATCTTGCTTTCTTTATTAATTCTAGATATTAAATGCAACTAATAAAAAACTGTTGCTGAAGAGAACGACCAAAGGAAGGGATGATGTAACTTCTCAGAGCAAAGAAAACCAAGAAAGACTATGCACACACGGAACTGTAGCAGACATATGCATGAGCCATGCTGAAGATAGCTGTCAAACAGGTGAGAATTAAGAAGCCAAATAAAGGTGAGAATTAGAAAAAAAAATTAATTTCAGCCAACTACCGTATTTTAGGCTAAGAAACTAATCCTGTACGCCTTTATTTCTGACTAAACAAATGCCCTTGATTAACTTCTAAGCAAGGCAGCTGCAATAACTATCCAGAAACCAGAAGGGTTTGCTATGCATCAAAAGTACATTGTTTCCTGGTAAACAACAAAATCATTTTTGAATTAAGGTCAGGAAGAAGCCAGGAGCGCAGACTGACTTTCAGTCACATCAGGAAAATTTTTCAGTGGAAATTTTGAGCTGTAGACCAAGGCATTTCTGGGGATTTTACTAAACCTGTGGATCTTGTTTAGTAAGGCTTCCCTGCGAGAGTCACACTTTAAAAGACACTGCTATACGTAATTTAAATAGGCATATCTGAGAAGAAACTTTCTAGCAGAAACACGGAATTAAATGTGTGTTTTACACAAAATATATGTTACCAACAAAGACAAAATACATGTTCCCAGAGAACCACAGAACTGCTGTGTGTAAGCTACCTAATTACTCCACCTTTCAAATGCTAAAATAAAGTTGGATGTTATGAAAATGCTGCATTATCAATGAGAACCTTAATGCCATTTATATGTCTGATTGCCCTGCCTGGCAGCCTGATAATGTACTTCCCATCTGGTCAGTCTGTTGGCAGCAGCACTGCGCCACACTGCTGGTGAAAAACTTCTCCGGAAACCTCGTGTCCTGCCGCTTCCTTCTGCAGAACCTGTATGCACACTCCAGGGTACAGAATGTCTAAGCAGCCCTCAAGATCGGACAACTGATTTTCATGACATACCTCTCCCTACTTAATTTAGGCTGTTTTATTTCTTAAACTACAAACCATAAAGATTACAGCATTGACAAGATGCATATTTACTGTCGCTTTCAATCCGAATTACATGCTGTCATCTGTAATGTACAGTGAATGTGATTCTTCCTGATAAAGAATTACATAGCTGAGAAAATGCTTTATTGTTGGACTATTGCTAAGAAAATGAACACGATGTTAGTATTCTTAACAAAAGGACATCTTTCAATAATCATTACAAGCTTTAGATGAACTCTGCTGGTGAAAGATAATGAAAATTACTGTAGTAAATGAAGTGAGAAATACTGTTAAGAAATAAGGAGCAGGGAGAAAATAATTCTGTTTTCCTTTTTTTCTTTCCTCAATTTAAAAACAGCGAGCTTTGCTTCAGCTTGTTTATGAAGAAATAGCAGTACATGTCTCTGTGGCGAAAAGGGAGTTTTACAGAGCATACAAGAAAAAAAAAACCCTATGCTGGGTCAGACTAAATATCATTCTGGAGTAGTATCCTGTCTCAGAGCGGTCAGTTGTGAACGCTTACGGAAAGAGCACAAGCGACAGGCAGGTACCAAGCGATCTCTCCCAGTCTACAGTAAGCGCAGTGCTGGCTTACCTCGGGCAGGAACAGTTCACCCATTCTGGAGCTGTTTCTAAAGGTGAGGCTCCCTTTCCTGTGAAGGTGGTTATCTCGGGCAACACCACAGGTAAGTCCTCATAAGGTACGGGGACAGTGCCACATATCTGGCAGTGAATGACAGGAATAGGTGTTCCCCAGTACCGCTGTCGAGATATTAACCAGTCTCTTAATTTGTCACTCGTTAGGTCTCCACCTATTCTTTTATTTTTGGCCTGCTGGGTAATAGCTTTTAAAGCCTCCTGCCGAGTCATGCCTGTGATCTGATTGAAAAAAAGGGAGAAGCAGAAGGACAAATTTATACTTGCTGTCACTGAAAATGCAAGAACAGACAAAAAAGTGTCACAAATGCAATTTCTGAGAGTCAAAATTTATAAGTCTCATATTAATTTTCCCCTTCCTGCTGCTTAACACCCTCCCATGCAAGAGACTCATCACATGCCAGCTACTCATTTAAACCCTCTTGCGAAAAGGATAATGTTCTTGATGGTCTGAATAGAACAAGTTTGAGAAAGAGCCTTGTAGACCCCTTCAGCCTTTATTGGCAGATATCTGCATTTGCTGCTGATATGTTAGTCAAATGCTGTATGGTGAAACTTCCAGAATATCACAAACACAAGGTAGAGACTGAGGAAATGCAAACAGTAGAACAGTTTGCTTTTTCTCCTGCGTTCATTTTAGGTTTTTCTATTCTTGCTTTCACACACATATTATCCACTTAAACCCCACCTGTCACGTAACAGAATATAAACTTCGCTTCTGCTATCAAATGCATTTTTTCAAGAACTGTAACACCATATATATCTTAAAGACAAGATTTCTATGTCACTTCAGGTAGATATGTTACCATAAAGGCTTACACCACATTTCAGTGAATATGTGGTAAAAGGACTAGTATGTTAATATTTAGCTTAAAAATCTATCGAGATGATGAAATAAGAATCAACTTTTAACATGAGTTTAATTATTCAGTTTCCATTACAAAACTCAGACGAATACAGTACCTTCCTCTCATATACAAAAGGAAAAAAGACATTACATTTTGTTACTACAGAAGAGCCAACTTATTTAATCATTAAATTATTCCTAGAAATTTGGTAGCATAAGCCTAGCTTGATTCTTAACAAAAAAAAAAAAAAAAAACCCACCTCCCTGTTATTGTACAAAGTATTTGGCACTCTTGAGAAAACAGATTTAGTCTGCATTGTTACTGTAAGTTGGAAAGAACTCCATACTTGTATACCCACCTCCGCAGAATTAATGACTTTCTCCAAACCGTTTGGCAATGTCTCAATGACTTCAGTGAAAGAAAGGCCCAGATTCTTAGCTACTGAAGCATCTGTTGCACTAGTACTAGGAATTCCTAGTGGAGGAGAAAAAAGAAATCAGTTCTGGGATTGACCAACATGGATATCAATCATCAGTTTGAGGACAAAACATTTTATTTCTATGACACTCTATGATGACTTATGTTTCCTCAAAGGAGTTTAAAAATCTCAGAACAATAAAAATGTTTTCATGTTCTTCAAACAGTGAAATTCAAACAGCAATAATTACAAACACTTTTTCTCAGTTTTTCTGGAATCCAAATGTTCATCAATGTCCTACCTCAGAAAAGGCTGAAAATTTGCTGGTTCTGAAAAACGCGAAAAGTAAAGCTACAAAATTTGGATAAATAATAACATTTTCAATACAGTTCTATTATGTAAATATAGTATATTTATTTATAATTATAAATGACATTTAAATTATTTAAATATAGTATATTTAAATAATATAAATTTTCATTGTATTTGCTAATATCAGAAACAACTACTAAACAAAAAGCCAAAATAGTCCTCGTTTCAATAGCAAATTTAATCTCTTTCTAATTTCATAGTTTATTAAAATTTACCACAACACAACATTTTCTAACATTACTATCCCTTTAATTTATTATGAAAGACATGATTTTTTTCTAAACTCAGGAAAAATTCAAGTAACATCAATTTTCTATTCAGAATACAACTACCGAGAGCACTTCCTACTGCTGTTCAAGTCAGTTATAGAAGCCACAGAACTTCAGGCCCCTGATCCTACCTTTTCCTTTGCATCTTGTTATTCGGGACAGTCATACACCTCAGTTCTACTTTGAAGGACTACCTTTCAGGGTGAGTTAAGAAATTTCCTAACTTTACCGTCACATGTATCCTGAAATAACATTGAGATACTAACAGATTTATTACTTCCACAGAGATATACATCTTCCTGCATCTTTTTTCCTTTCAGTGATGATTTATTTAATATTTTGAACAATCTTGCACAATTGCTGTCATCTTTCAAAAGCAAAGAAACTTATCCTGACATGCCAATGCCAACATTAAGTTCGTGAAAACTACAGACAAAAACTCTCAAAATATTGCTGAGCACATTAAACTTATTAACATACAAGCTACTGCATTCAAAAGCAGTTTGACAATCGTCTTTGTTCAGGCAATGAAATGCCTGCTGTGCATTAATTCTGTCAATATATGGAAGTTTGGAAGCAGATAACTAAAGAAAACCAAGCAAAACTCCCCTGTGACAAATAACTCCTTAACTAGCAAAACATGGAATTGCTGTTTTATCTTTCCAGCAGATGTACACTCTTGCCATTTCAAGACCCTATTATAGAATAAAGTATGTATCTTCATTTGTCAGAGCCCTGCAGCCTGCAACAGGTGGCTTCACAATATGCTCTACAAACGGAAAAAAGCAGGTCCCACTTTTTGGTCCTTCTTTTGAAAAGATGCTATTAATGTACAGTCACAAAGCTCAACAGCTGGCATCCAGAACTTCCCGAGAAAAGCTGGGGTGTTTCCAAGAGATGTAAGGCCAAGGTATGTGCCAGTGAGCAAGCTGGAAGCTTTTAATGAAAAATAAGATTAGGCATCTCAATTATTTGGCTTATCTTACGCGAGGGAGCATTCTGGTTCTCAAAAACAGACTAATTTCTGAAGCGTTAAGATGCAGGCACGCTGTAAGTAAGGTATACAGCGCAAGTGGATAATTTCCATCAGCCCTGTGAGGGTCATCCAAGACATCTTTGCATAGTCAGCTGGTTTTATTCAGTCCAGTTGTGCAGGAACAGCCCATATTGGCAGCGGTGTAGAAAAGAAAGGAGCAGCTCCGGGGTAGGAAGGAAGTATCAACAACAGAGAGGCAACATAGCAGAGCTGAGGGATAAGGCAGGTAGTGGAAAGGGGGGAGAAGAGGTAACTATTTCCTATTAGGACTGGCACAGAACATTGCCTGCTTGATGCACCCTGAGATGAGACCATAACAAAACACAAGAGTGAACAAAAAGCTCAGTGGGTGCAGACTAAAATGGACACCATTTTTAAAGTTAGTACAATTTCCAGTTTTACTCAGAAGGACAGTCACATCATCTAACCGTATGCATTTCGCTGCCTGAGCGGAGGGGCTAGGCTGCCTGTGGGGGAAAGAAGTCCGACGTGCTGCTTCACAGGACGGCTTTGAGATCAGAAACCCACTCCAGGCGACTCAGCATGTCCTCTCACAACGCCCTTCCCTCTCCGTTTACGGATCCCCAATCCTAAGTTAGGTGCCTTCTGTTACCTTAGGGAATGCTTCCTTTAGAGATAAAGGATCCAAGATAACTGTCCAAGGTTACTCAAACAGGATTATTACCTATTCCGAATTATTCTACTGACCTTAACACAAATATTGTCAGATAAAGGTCAAACTTGGAAGTTCTGCACATTTACTGTCTGAAACATTTCTCTGAAAGGATGCACGTAATTTGTGTAAACATAAGACACAGAAAAAGCTAAAAGCTTAGGTTGTTCTCAAAATATTTATGTCAAACCATAGTACGGTTCTCTTTTGATTAAGGGTGGTGAGAGACAGCCAAATACAGATGCACTGTAGGTAATCGATCCTCTTACGATACGCAGATCCTCAACTTCAGTTCATTAAACACACTAACTTTATAATATTTCCATTAAAACTTATCATCCAATAAATCTTTTCCTCTAGACAGATTCCACAGAGCTGCTTTTCCCTTCCTTCTTCACTAATGAAGAACAGGAACAAAGAACAGAGTTCCAAAGTCCAGAAGCAAGCCACTATGTTAAAAGATTTACCCCAGCAGCATCTCCTGCTCCATGAGAGTTTTCAGCAACTTAAAACTATACTGTTCCACTTAAACATTAAATGTCACATACCTATTTTAGCATCAAGAAAATTCTCAAAATTGTTTATTGCTGAGATGACTACAGGAATCTCCTGATCGGTAAGCAAATTCACAGCTGTCACTGAAGTGAGTGAATCTGAAAACAAATGCAATGATCACAGTAAGTAAAATATGACAGAAGATATGCTAAGAACATTACTTACTATTAGAACTCAGTTTATTTTAAATATGCATGAAATTTAAATTACAATTTTGTTTCAAAAAGAAAGAAAATGAAAAGCCTAATTACATTTCTAAAACGCTCAGACATATCAAAATCTTCAGTAAGTCGGAGTGATAAATTTTCATGATTAGAAAACATAACAAACACCTGAATAAAACCAGAGTAAGATTTGCATTATAATAAAAAAAATTGAGCCCTTCACCAAAATGCAGGTCTGCTGCGCAGTTGTACGAATTAGCTCTAGTAAGCCCTGAATTATACACTAGCATACCCTATTACAAAATTACACCAAAAAAATTCCTGTTATTCAGATGAAACTGAAGGGCAGCATATATCCTACGCCAATGATTTGCTTTCTTACATAATAAGTACAAAGCATGAGAAATATTGACCAGTGTAAAAATAAACTAAACAACCTATTGATTTTAAACAGAATATTCATATTATAGATGAGGAACCCAGTGTCCACAGGGAGGGGGAGAGAGAAGAGGAGAGAACCAAGGGTGAGAGCTGTGATAAACTGAAATTGATTTACAATGTGTAGCTTGGGTGGCTTGGTAGGAAGAAAAATCAAACTTGAATACTCCCAAGTTTTGAGGATTCAAACCCCAGAGCTCAATTTGGACCTGTTTCTAACTTTTTCAGTGCCTTTAAAATTAAAATACTTCAAATAATTAAAATACAGACTGCTAAGAGCTTCCTTTCTCCTATCTTCATAGCTAAGCTAAGGAAAGTTTGGGCTTATATTGCAATGCATAAAATCTGCTTGAGATAAAGCAACAGCTTTTAGAGAACAGGGCTACTATATCTCATCACTCTTAACACAAATCATATATTTATTTCTTTCTGCTTATTACTTTTTCAAATTTCAGGTGTCTGAGAAATTTTGCTCTGGAATATGTGTCTCATGTTTAAACCACTGCACATAGCTTTCCTCCTGTGTTTAAAAAAATGTACAAAAGGAATCATTTCACTCTTTAAAAGCAACTAACCAACACCCTCATTAACAGGAAGCTAAGTGGGTAGGACAGTCTGCTTTTAAAAATAACTCCTGTCTTCCACACAGCAGTAATTTTGATTTTATGCTGGAACCAAAAATAATAACTCTAGTTTATGAAGCCGCTCTTTCTTGTGCTCATTTGCTCACATCATTATTGTAATAGCTGTAAAAAGATGATATTATAGTTCCAAATGTAAAAGAACGTATGCATAGTATTACAATGAGATAATGAACAATGTAAGGGTCAAATCTTTACTTCAGACACCTCACGCTGTCAAAACTGGAAGACTTACCAGATTCTAAATTAACATAGATTTTTCTAGGCTAAAAAACTGAATGTTTGAAAACTGGTTGCTCACCTTCTATTTAAATAATAATAGCCTAAAATACAGGGCTGTACTCCAAGAGTATAGGTGTAAGAGCTTGAAAGTTACCTTGCCACACAACACTATTTTTTCTCTCCTAGAAAACATAAAAACATATCCTCCTAATTATTTAAACCAGAACACAGCAGAGAAAGGGAGTTACAAGACTACCACAATTGAAAAGAAAACAATCACAATTAATTAAATTAAAATTCTAATGTTAACGGTGAATTTAAAAAAAAAAAAAGTCTTGGTTAATGTAAAAATATGGTCCATTCGAGGCCATCCAAAATTTCTTCTTACTTAAATGCCATTGTTGGCCCTTCATATGTACCATGGCTGAAATGTAAATCTGAAAGTTCAGGTAGACATTCTTCTCCTTTATGTTCTCTTCTCTGGAAAATGCTCAAGAAATAGTAAGAAACATTAGCCAATTTCAACTCAAGAATGAATGTAACTACTTTTACAAGCAGCAGGAGTACACAAAAATAGCAGAGTTATGATTCCGGAATTGTGTCTCTTTCAAGGACTTATGGCTGTCCTTATTCCAAATGAGAGTTTCTTAATTTAGCTCAACCGAAAGATGAAGTTTATTGTTAAGAGACACAAAGAAGCCTTTCCAAATATTTCTACACTGTCCTGGTTTCAGCTGGGATAGAGTCAATCTTCCTCCCAGTAGCTGCTGTGTTTTGGATTTAGTACGAGAAAAGCGTTGGTAACACTGATGTTTTCTGTTGTGGTTATGAAATCAAAGACTTTCTCCAGCCTCCCATGTTCAGCTGATGAGCGGGTGTGCAGGAGCTGGGAGGCAGCAGAGCCGGGCAGCCAGCCCAAGCTGGCCAATGGAAACAGTCCATACTATAGGTGTCATGCTTAGTTTATGAATGGGGGTTGGTCAGGGGATGGGAATCTGCTCTTCTCTTTTCTGTGAGTTCAAACTTCTCTGGGAGTTTGGTCTTTTTTGGGTGTATCATGAAATTTGAGAATTTCTGGGTTCTGCAATCACTGCTCGTGTACTGGCTGTGAATTGGTCATCGGGTGGTGAGGAAAATTGTATTAGTAGTAGTAGTAGTATTAGTATTTACTTTGGTGCCTTCTTAAATTCTCTTTATCTCAACCCATGAGTTTTACCTTTTGTCTGTTTCTCCTCCCCATCCCGCTGGGGGGGAAGGGGAGGGTTGAGAGAGTGGCTGTCTAGTGTTTAGTTGCCGGCTGCTGGGTTGAACTATAACACGTTAAAACAATATAAAACATATACTGCTGTCCTTATCAAAAACAAATTTTGCACTCGTGTGGTTTGGCTTAAAGCACGAGACCCAACAAAGATACAGGCACGTACATGGATGTGTGTTTCTGCGGTTAGTGCTTTGATTTGGCTGAACTGTAAGAACTGCAAATCTGTTCTTTTATTCCTTAATAAAAATTCTTGAAGCTTTGCTCAGCTCCCAGACAAGGACTCTACATGCTCAACACATTCAGGCTCCATTTTTCTCTGCTAGCAAGCAAACTTTTTTAAAGTTATAGAAATGAAGCACTCAAAAATAAAGCAGGTTCTGTGCAACCATCACAGTTTCCAAGATTCCTGCTTCATTGCTGAATTGATCATAGGAGCCTTCAAGAAACCAGTTAATACCAATTAAAGAATTACCACTTGCTTGTATCCTCTGTGCAAGTCATGACCTGCCATAGGAATACTCTGAATTTACTCCATCAGTCTTGTATTAACCAAGGATCTGCACAGCAGAGTACTATTTTGCTATCTGCCAATGATCCACTTTGCTGTGTATTAGTGATCTATTGCCCTCTTTATATTCCCTATGACAGGAAGAGATCATCGTTGGTGCAAGAGTTGGTTCTGCTGTTTTTGTGCTAACGACAAGTTACCACACAGCCATGAGATCTTCCAATAGGCTGACACAGTCAAGAGCTGCACTGTTCAATTCTGGTACATGAGGAAACACAAGAAATTGTTTCATTACTTCTTTACACTATGAAGCGTCACAGCCATTACAAAAGGAATAATTCTAGCATAGCTGCTCTTATCACATCTGAAGCTAGGAACAGGCTGATGCGATACTGTTTGACATGGACCAAGAATCAAAAGGTCGGTTCCCTCTTAACAGAAACAGCTCCTGCTCAGCTTGACACACATTCTCTCAAGATCATTCTCTAAAATTGTTCTTCTTCCACAACAAAATGCAGTATGAGAAAAATATCACCTTTCCCTGGAATGAACTCCCTCTGAAAGACCTCCTTGAGACTGCTATTCCCATGCAGCAGTCTGTGAGTCGGTACAATATATAAATGGGAGGCTCCATAAATGGCTTCAGGTGTATAGGTGTAAGCTGCTAGCTTCTCTTCTGTTACTTTACCATCAACCTGAAAAAGAGCAGAAAATATCCCCGATGAATTTATTTTGCTCTCCACTGGAAGTGCAGTGGTTTTAGACTCATCTTCCTTTTTATGCAACTAACAAATATACATTACCCTGTAGAAATACACAATTCTGAGTATCAAAGCCAGATGCACTCCCCCTATAGGGGGTTTCCAGAATCAAATCTTGACAAAATTTACCCTTAAGACCTTGAGAAAGTTGCTTTACAATCTTGCCTCAGTTTATCCAAATATATATTAAAATATTTGTATTCTAAAATCATACGTAACATTACATTGTGCTACTGAGCTAGGTTCAATCCCTGGTTAAGTAACCTGGAATCCTTCTATTCCCTTTTAACCTGCATGCCCTATTTCCAAGAAACAGAAATGAGATATTACCTCTGAAATCTAAAGAGAATTTAAGACTTTCTCAGCTACCAAGATTTCCAACACATTTCTCAGATGAAGTCAATACTGCAACTTACATACAGGTATAAAATCATAAAAAGTGGTACAACATTAAAACAACTGGACATAAAATGAGAGTAATAAACCCAGAAGACTGCTTGAAAATTATCCCCCAGCACTATCAACAGGCTTTATATTTTCGGTCAATTAACTGTGGAGTGTATGGGAGTCTTAGAAGGAGATTTTTCTACAACAGGTATTGATACACGTTTTCAGAAACAATTGACAAAAACAACTTAAATACGAAAATGCACCTTCTAGCAGTGTGCAACTCAGAGGTATCAAGAAAGTTCAAGCTGTCTCAATTTGAGGTTCCCAAAAATTCAGTATTTAAAATAACAAGTCACTTTTAAAATGTTAGAGCAGAGTAAGTGAGTATAATAAAGTTTTGAAGCTCAATAGCTGAAATTCCACCAGGGGCTCTGAAAAACTCTTCTGTCACTCTCGTATTCAAAAAGCTTTTTGCATCTCTTCAGAAGGACTTCAGATTTTACCCTTTTTCTCTAGATAATTATAATTCTCTCAAGGTTTCTCTTTCCTTCCTCTACTTACTTTCTATCCAGACTTCACTGTAGCTCCATCACTAGCTAATTGTCTATTTTTCATTATTTTAATTACTGTATGTAATAAATGAAATAATAGACAAACATCAATAAAGCGGCTTGCCAGAGGTCAGCTTGGGTCTGACAGAAGGTGCTGTGCAGCACGGACCTGAAGTCCAGCTAGGGCCCAGCTGACTTGTGCAGCACCACTCGATACTGCTCTTGGTACTGCACCCCCAAATGTCCTGGCTTTCAGGAACGCTTAGTAGCCGGCATGTATTTTGGCACAAATACACACAGCCAATTTGCATCCAATGTTGCACTTGAACACACAAACCCTTTCCTAAGGAGGAGGGCAGGGAGTATCTCTTCAGCCCACAAGTGATGTTCTTCAGGATCTGTGCTGGTCTAGGCATGAACATATAATAATCTCTTTTAGTAGGTTTCAAGCTTTTCAGGTCTGAAAATACATGCCCATCACGCATTTCAGGGATTGTGGTTAGCCCAACCAAGACAGCAGCATTGAAATTTCTGACTTACCTTTAGCAAGAAGTCAAGAGAGCATCCAACACAGTCACCTATCCAATTTGCTTGCATTTCTTTTATACCATACCACTCAGGGAGATCGGACAACGCATCAAACATAGCCTGATGCAATGAAAGAAAGAATTAGAACGTTCAGCTTTTGTAAGTATACAAATGAAGACTATGGGTTTAATTATAAGCAACAGCAAAATGATAATGTGCTGGTAAAAACATAGGAAGAGGCTTTTTTACACTGCTGCCGCCTGAAATTCATCTCTTTGAGAACAGAATTAACATGGCCAAAGGCAGAGCTATGACACCTCCAACAGAGATCCTACTGTTATTAAAAGAGGCCTGCCTTTTGTACGGACTAAACTTTAAACACAGAACAAAACCCTTAGATGAAAACATACATTGTAAACTGTAAAGTGTAAGCTGTGGGAAGTGTAAGTGACCTAATGACCTGAACAAGACTACTGACACGCAAGAGATGTGCATGCAGGTATGAAGCCTGCATTTGGATTAATTGTTCTAGACAATAGCCTGAAGATGGCAGTTAGACAAAAGACATTTACATGTCCTAAAACTTTCAAACTCTGACTTAAAATGGCAAAATAGAGTTTCCAGCTATGTATCTATTTTTCATATTTCATAGTGATATTTTACCAAGCACAACAGGCTGTAAAATTGAATGGGATCTTTAGGTGATATCATCCTTTTAAAAAAACAAACAAACAAAACCCAAATCATAATAATAAGGGTTCATATTAAATTCAATATATATATAATGATATTATAGTAATATAATCATAATATATTATGCAGCAGAGAAGAAATTACATGTTGGCTCCTTTTTTGGCCATAATGTCCAACAGTCAACCTGTAACTTCTATGTACATTTATACTCAGTGAGAGATATATCCATATGTTTACGTGCTTTCTGATGGGTGGCATGGTGGCATAACAGACTACTCCAAGTCAACTAATATTTGCCTAAAACATTTGAACAGTATGTTTTTAATAGAAGAAATCTATAAAAAATTAAACGAGCAGACATACAAAGGCACGGATAACTCAAAGCTCATCTCATTTTCCACTTCATAACACTTCACATTTGTGTTATGAATACTGCATGACTGTCCAAAATCTTTACTTTGGCAGAAGTACAGCCAGAGGCATGAGTCACTCAGACAGATGGTGGATATGCTGAACAATTACAGTTAAAATCTAAGAATAAGGCAACATGTTGAATAATTTTTCCTTCAGCTGCGACTCCCAACGTCAAATGTGCAAGTTCTTTATTATCTTGTTAATTGCTAACAACCTGCAAAGACGGACAGTAGCTATTGCGTGCTGGTCAAATTAAATAGCGGGTAGTTAGCTAATTAGTGAATATACAACTCATTCAACTGTTGTGTTTTATCTATGTTCTTAAATGTTTTGAGAGTGAGATGCAGAAAAGATATTGCAAGGATTACTTTCTAGTTACTGCTCTATTATATATCTATCATTCAAAAAACAACAAAGGACAAGTCCTTCATAAATCATAATATTACACCACCACTTGGGATTACTATTGTTTTCTACATCCTCAAGAATCAAATTCATTTTCTGATGGTTTATAAATAAAAGCATGGTAAGGTTTTGGAGGGTTTTTAATTGGTTGTAACTTTCAGCAGTTGTAGCTCACAATTGCAAGTATACTATACCACAGAGAATTCCAAATTCTCATTATTCTCATTAATTTTAGTGTTCCAGAGACTACTGAGCTTTATCTGCCATGAATAAGCCATATACATAGATATACCTAGCAAAGAATAACGACTAACTGGAGATATATATAGATATAGAGATATATACACACAATACTTGGATACATTCTTTGTAAGAATCTTATGCATTTTATAAAGAATGGAATTGTGTCAATACACACAGAACTGTCTGGACACTTTAGCAGATTTTTATAAATTCTCCTGCTTGGATATCTCTCCCAATCTACATTACATTTTGCTGGCAGAAGCAGCTAAATGTGCATGTGCTCTACTGCAACTGTACAGTCTGTAATTGCTTGCCAGCAAAAGTTTCTGGACATTTTTTTCACTGCAGGGTTAATACATCAAGATCCTTAATACCAGCGTGGTAAGGATTTTAACTCCAGTTAGTTGGCCTTATTAGGAGCTATAGGCTACAGTTTGACTTAGTCCAATTCTTCTCTTGATAATGCAATTGCTTCACACAGCTAAATACAGTAAGAGCCAACTTAGCTTCACCTGAATGAAGATAACAAAACTTCTTCTGCATGATGACACACCCTAGCAGAGTTTGCAAACACAAACCTTTCACATCTTAATAGGCATACGAACAGTAGTATAGCATGATTTAAAAAACACAGCAAAAAAAACAACTCAAAAAAATTACAATATGAAATTATGATTGCGTGTTCTTTGTATTCAACACACTACTTTGGTTTCTTGTCAAGAAGAAAACGAACAACATGTAAAACACAAACACTTTACATAGTGTTACAGAGGCAAAAAATATACAGTATGTGTACTGCTAGCATGTTAATCAGTATTTCTGGATGGTAAATTAACCTAAGATACTCACTAACAGGAAAGTAGAAAAGCACATTAATTCTTACATACATTAAAGCATCGTATATTCAAAATTCATCCATGTAAATTAGGAGGTTTTAAAAATTGTTTAAGGTAAACCCTTTTAAAAAGCTTTTTGTTTTTAAACCCAATTGCACTACACCCTGCAAAAACATAACTCTATAAATATATGTTAAAATTATTATTAATTTTAAAGAGTTATATGTAGCCTCTTTTGGTATACGAAACCCTTGAATGGAAGCTGACCAACGCTAGCGTAGAAACTCCTGAATATTATAAGCTAGTGTTTGGAAACTTAAATATTAACAGCATGAATTTTGCTTCCACATTCTTTTTTAAAATCACTGCCATGTTTGGTAAAACATCTTATACATCATTAAAGTAGTCCCATGAATTCTGCTCCAATTATTATTTTGCAGTTACTGGTATGATTCCTTAAACAAAAATTCTGACCATAAGGGCACGTACATAACTCCTAGTCATCTGGTAACACAGAAAAGACAACCAACAAGAAGATTCCCAGCACACAGGCAAATAAACAAAAGTAAACCAATGTTGGATTCTGCCAGGGACAAAGAACAGCAGCAGTATTACAATCCAGTATGCAGAGAGTGATAAACTAATCAAATAAATTCCATTGTCACATTTCTGATGATGACTTAATAGTGAGAAACTTGGAAACATTAGGCAGCAGAGCCTTTCTACTTTCAGTTTTAATGGCTCAGGAAGAGATGAGAGAACTTAAAATGCAAACGTCTAATTACAGGAGAAATTACACCCATCTTAATTAAACACAAGTCAAGGTAAAGCATAAATACGTTCTGGCAGTCTTTCAGAAAAGACAGACAAACTCAGGAAAAAGCTAAAGAAATCAAAGCTACATTCTGGGATGAGAATGACTTCAAGGCTCCTACGCCTTTAGGAAAGTTTGACTTGAAGTGCTGGAGAAGTTGAAGATTCAGGATAAACTAATGTTTTACAGGACTGCTTTACTCTTTCAGAACACCTAGACAACTCTGGCATAGCTAGAAGATGAAAGTCAACCAGTTCAAGTGATCAGAGTCACAAAATCAAGATGAGTTTGTTGAAAATTCATTACACACAACGAGGACCGAGTGTGAAACTAGATGTAAAGCATCTGAAAGTGGAAAACTGATCTCACGCATCCAGCTGTTTAATCTGCTGAACATTCATCGAGAAACAGAACTTCAGTTTAGCAATCTTCAGACAGAAAAAAGTACATAAAATCAAAGAACAGAAGTGCTTTATAATTTCCTAAGAGTATCTCAACTCCTAAAGTCCCCCTCCTGCTTGTAGTTCAAAGAGGGATGATTCTGCTGAGCACCTAAAAAATTCAGGCTCTGACTTCAGGAACCAAAATTTTTAGTATGATCAATTCCTGCGACTAATTTCATACTTCGTGAGAGGATTTCAACTCCTCCATGGTAATAAATGAAATAAAACAAAAAATCTAAATATGAGCTATAACGCTTCTACTTTCAATGAAGATACTTTAGTGAAGTTTGACAAATTTTCAACATAACGACTAAACTAAAAAAAAGGTCAGCAAAAGGTTTCATTTCAAAAGCATTCCATTCACTAGCAAAATAAAATTATCTTCTATTAAAATAAAATAAAATTAACACAAAAAGCTTTGCTTCTGAGGAAGAGTCAAAGAAATATTCATGATCTGTTTGGATTAAAATGCAGTTCTTCACTTTATTGGACTAAGCTCCCAAAAGAGTAACCAAATATAAAGTAATGATCACATAAAATCCTTTAATACAAGTTAATATATTAACTAACGTACAGGAAATGAAAGGTAGGCTGCCCACTGTTTTAGTTTGCACAGTTCCAACTGTGGTTCTGCAGTACAGCTTCTGCTGGTATTGAACCTCTTGTTTTGGTTTTTCACCTTCAGTAGTGTGTGCCTGTACTATCATGGGTCACTCTCGGCTCTTAGTTCCCATGTGTGAAGTACACTGAAAGCACACATTAACAAGGAGCACTAACACAGCTGAACAGCCAGCAGTTTTGCCCTTTCTTTATGCTCTAATTTATGGTCAACAAACAACTCCGGTTTGATTACGCAGAACTGAGGCAAAGAAATGATTCCTCAAAAGCAAAAAGTAAAGCCAGCGTTCTCCAGCTTGGCTCTCTAGAGCCATTCCCACTGCAGCATTTAACAAAGAGAAGATATTCCCTTTCCAACAAAATGAAGTGTATCTTTGGGATAAATGAGTAACGGACTCCATAAATATAAGAGCTCTCTAAAATATTTGTTATCATTTTTAGTAGTAATAAGCATTCATTGTTGTGATTAATCTTCTACCAACAGGAACTTAAATTTATATTGCTGTAGCATCAAATGAGATGCTGCGTTTACACTAAAGTGAAAAGATCAGCCTGGTCTGGATACCCACAAAGGATTTTCTGTCTTGCCAAGCTGACAAAACAGGTGTCATTTTTTTCTTAACGAAGTGCTAAGCAAGCTGTGGAGACAGCGCT